CAGGCGTCAGGGTTGAAATCGAACCCACGACCTCCTGTATACCAGGCGAGGTAGTTAACATCTCGCCACCATGAAAACTCCAAATATACAGCAGGCGTCAGGGTCGAGATCGAACCCACGACGACCTGTGTACCAGGCGAGGTAGTCAACATCTCGCCACCATGCAAACTCCAAATATACAGCAGGCGCCAGTATCGAGATCGAACCCACGACCACCTGTGTACCAGGCGAGGTAGTTAACATCTGCTAGCCAATGTGTCGCCCACATAAACGGTGCCGGGGGCAGGAACAAACGTGGCTGGGTGTTGTTGATCCGGCCACACCACTGCCATAGTATGCAGTGCTGGCCTTCTTAAGGTGCTCGCTAACCACACTTGCCCCAGCAGTCTGTGAGGCTGAATGAATGAATGGATATCTCGTCAAATGTGTGCATGGACACAGATCAGATATTCCACGAAAGTTTTCGCTACCTACTTCGGGTGACAACACCACTGTATAATAAATGACGCATTATTGGTCGTATAATACTGGTAGGAACCTCTTGGTTACACCAGCCCACAGGGGATTATTGTGTCCGTCGTGCAGGGAGGGGCTGGGTGGGGAGGGGAGGGGCTGGGTGGGGAGGGTGGGGAGGGGCTAGGTAGTGAGGGTGGGGAGGGGCTGGGTGGGGAGGGTGGGGCTGTGTGGGGGATTGGAGGGGTGGGGCTGGGTGAGGAGGGGCTGGTCACCCCGTGGTGTCCTTATAAAACTCAACGTTTAACCTACTCACACCGGCTTGTGCCTGCCCTCACAATCGGGTATATTTGCGGAATATACCACGCCGCCGTTGACCCTGGCCATTGACCGAACAACCCAACGTTCCTACCAGCTCCCTCCGCAGGAATGTGTTTAATCGGTATACCAACACACGTTGCCGTCACGGTTGGAACCGATGTCTGCCCTGACGCATGCAGAGTGTGTGTGTTGTTTTTGTGTGGATGTGTGTGGATGTGTATGGGGAACGGTAGTGTAGCGGTCAGCGCTCCACTCCGCTACGAACCTGGCAGAGACCCGAGTTCGATTCCCGCTCACGTCCAATACCGGTGACGATTATCTGAACCGGTTATGAGTTTCCTCCCGTAGGTCGACTCAGCCTCAAATGAGTACCTGGTGCGGTGTGTAGTAAACATCGCCACTGGGGAGACAAAGGCTTCATACTCTTAGGTTTTTTCGGTAAAGTCACGTAGGTAAAAAAACCTAAGAGTATGAATCCTTGCAGTCACGAAAGCTTCAAATCGAGACAAAGGCTGTTGGGCGTGGTGCTGGCCACCCACCCCCTCGTGTGCCGTGCCGGCCTTCATAGGTGCTGCTCGCTAACAGCACTTGCCCCAACAGTCTGTGAAGGCTACACGGTGAATCTTTGTGCGTGTGAATGTGTGGTGGAGTGGGTGACGTGTGTGTGTGTATTTCCCCCCCAAGCAATTTCAAACCTATTCTTAGGTTTTTTTCGGTAAAGTCAAGTAGGTATACCAACACACGTTGCCGTCACGGTTGGAACCGATGTCTGCCCTGACGCATGCAGAGTGTGTGTGTTGTTTTTGTGTGGATGTGTGTGGATGTGTATGGGGAACGGTAGTGTAGCGGTCAGCGCTCCACTCCGCTACGAACCTGGCAGAGACCCGAGTTCGATTCCCGCTCACGTCCAATACCGGTGACGATTATCTGAACCGGTTATGAGTTTCCTCCCGTAGGTCGACTCAGCCTCAAATGAGTACCTGGTGCGGTGTGTAGTAAACATCGCCACTGGGGAGACAAAGGCTTCATACTCTTAGGTTTTTTCGGTAAAGTCACGTAGGTAAAAAAACCTAAGAGTATGAATCCTTGCAGTCACGAAAGCTTCAAATCGAGACAAAGGCTGTTGGGCGTGGTGCTGGCCACCCACCCCCTCGTGTGCCGTGCCGGCCTTCATAGGTGCTGCTCGCTAACAGCACTTGCCCCAACAGTCTGTGAAGGCTACACGGTGAATCTTGGTGCGTGTGAATGTGTGGTGGAGTGGGTGACGTGTGTGTGTGTATTTCCCCCCCAAGCAATTTCAAACCTATTCTTAGGTTTTTTTCGGTAAAGTCAAGTAGGTAAAAAAATTAAATTAATAAAAGTAAAATAAAACAAAAAAAAACTTCTTTTGTTTTATTTTACTTTTATTAATTAATTTTTTTTACCTACGTGACTTTACCGAAACAACCTAAGAATATGAATCCTTGCAGTCACGAAAGCTTCAAATCTATTTGAAACCTTTCACCCGTTCGCGTGTGGGATAGTTTGAATCACGATATCAGTGCTGATACATCCGTTCGCTTTACGAAATAAAACCGGGGTGTGAATCAACGTGCCCTTCCGTGTGAGTGTATTCTTTTTTTAACATCTCACTTTCCATGTACAGTATATATATAGAAAATCTTGATATTCAATCTGGTTCCTGAACCATATACCCGGTCGTTATCTTAATTTTGTTATTAACTTTCGTGCGCGAAATAATAAAAATTCGCAATGTGCATCGGTGAGGTCCCTCTCCTGCTTAAACACGCCTAACTAATAAAATAATAATGATCCATCGTGCTCTAGGCACTGCTGGACGAAGTCGCCCTCCGGCTTATTTCTGATTGAGAAATTATCAGGTACAACAAACCACACACTCGCACACAAAACGTCTCTAAAGAAATGAGTTTTGAATTTAGATCATCGCTTCTTCACCTGGGGGTGAACGGTGCACTCCCTGGGGGTGTGAGATGCCCTCTCTCTGGGGGTGCGAGACGTGGACATATTGTTGTGTTTAGAAGGTAAATAGTTCAAGCCATGCGGCTCTTAAGTCGGGGGCAACCGCAACAAACAAAATATGAACACTGAACATCTTAAAGCGACGACGCGTAACAGAAACATCCTGGAATAAACCAGCAAATATATTTAAAAAACTTATGTAAACGCTGTGTGCAAAAGTCAACAATAGCTACCATAAGACAATTTAGATTAACCATATGTTTTCGAATCACCGAAATAAAGCTATAAAAACAACGTAACAACAGTAACAATCGACAACGCAAATTAAGTACGGGCACGGAAGTTACAGCTACTTTGTTTGATCAAACCGACGTATTTATTACCATGAAAAAACACACTATTGAGAACCAAAGGGGTGCAAAACTTCGATTTAAAGCTTTCGTGACTGCAGGGATTCATCTTCTTGGTTCTTTCGGTAAAGAACAGGTCTGTCGGGAAGACAGCGTCATTCATTCAGACGCTGTCTTCCCGACAGACCTGTTATTCACCTGAGGACGGCTGCTTGCGTTGTGGCCGAAACGTCGTGAGAATAATTAGATTATGTATTATTTTTATTATTTTATTATTTCCCTTCTACGTGACTTTACCGAAAGAACCTAGAAGAAGGGGTGCAACGCTGCAGTAAAGTTCTAGAAGCACTGCTCTCGATGATTTAAAAGTGCACAGCGCCGGTGGCTTCCGAATAGAGGGGAAGGAAGAGATGGGGGGGAGGGGGAAAGTGAGAGATCAGCAGGCGACGGAACGCACCCAGACCGGAACGTGAACAATCAAGAGAAGCGTGCGCAATTCTTCATCAATTAATGAGTTTTGGTCTTGGTGAGTTGTTACACCTGATCGCAAATTTAATCGCGATCTTCCAAGTCGTGCGTCAGATTATTCATTTAAGGCTGAGTCGACCTAGGGGAGGCCCGGGACCAGTTAAGAGATTATATCTCGCGCCTGCTGATGATAGCCGTGGGCGGGAATGGAACGCGGGTGGCGGTAGGGTTTTTTTTGGTAGTTGAAGCGCGCTAACCATCGCGCCACCGCTCCCCACTCACACAACAACGACGACGACCGCTGCCACTCGCCATGAAGTGACGGCGAAGTCACCGCAGCGCTTGTACCAGGCTAGGTGCATTTCGAGGTCACATACAAACATACCAAAGACAAGGGGGGAAAATCCCCCGTATAGCCTTTAACAGACTGTAGGGGAAAGTGCTGTTTGCGAGGTGTGGCCACGACCACGCCCGGCCGCCTTTGTCTCCCCAGTGGCGATGTTTACTACGCACCGCACCGGGTGCTCATTTGAGGCTGAGTCGACCTAGGGGAGGAGGCCCAGGACCCGTTCAGATAATCGTCACCGGCGTTGGCCGTGAGCGGGAATCGAGACGCCCCCCCACACACGCACGCGAGCTGGTCTCTCTCATCAGTTCCATCTCCACGTTGGTGGCCCGCTGGGAAGTGTTTTCAGTGTAAGTGGTTCCCATGGTGCTGCTGCTGCTGGTGGTGGTGGTAATGACCGCAGGCTGCGCAATGTGCCATGTGGAACTCCCCACCCGCACCCCCATCAACCCCCCCCTTCCACCTCCCCACCCTTTCCACCTCCCCGCAAATGAAGCGAAATCCCCTCTCTCTACCCCCCCTCCTCTACCCCCCCCTCCTCCACCCCCCCTCCTCCACCCCCCCTCCACCCCTCTCCTCCACCCCCCCCCCTCCTCCACCCCCCTCCTCCACCCCCCTCCTCCACCCCCCCACCTCCTCCACCACCCCTCCTCCACCCCCCCTCCTCCACCCCCCCTCATTCCCCCCCCCTCATTCCCCCCCTCATTCCCCCCCCCTCATTCCCCCCCCCTCATTCCCCCCCCTCATTCCCCCCCCTCATTCCCCCCCCTTCCTCCACCCCCCCTCCTCCACCCCCCTCCTCCACCCCCCCCCCTCATTCCCCCCCTCATTCCCCCCCCTTCCTCCACCCACCGCTCCTCCCCCTCCACCCTCCTTCCTCCCCCTCCCCACCCTTTCCACCCCACCCCCCACAAATGAAGCGAACTTCCCTCTCTCTACCCCCCTCTGCCCCCCCACCCCTCTCTCCCCTCCCCCCGCCCCTCTCCCCCCGCCCCCCTCCCCCGCACGTCTAGATGGTGACGTCACACGCACAGAGGCTCGATATAGGCTGTGACGTCAGCAGCCCAGGCGCGAGACGACAGGAGCGGCACGGAGAGAGGCGCAGAGGACGCAGCGAAGCCATCCACTCACTCATTCACTCATTCATTCATTCATTCACTCACTCATTCATTCATTCACTCACTCATTCATTCATTCACTCATTCATTCCGTTGTTTGTTCTCCAGCAGCAGCAGCATTATACCCATCGACAACAGCAAACATCTTCGTCGTCGGCACTACCACCACCACCACCACCGTCATTGGTGTTTGCAGGCAAGCGTTCGGGGCGAATCGCATTGTGTTTTAAAACATTCTGATGAGGCTGTGTGTGTGTGGGGCTGCGCGAGAGAGCGAGAGAGAGAGACGGGGATGATGCGGTTATACATTATTTTATAAAATACATGACCACGATATAATGAGTGTTAATTTTGGTGGTGGTGGTGGTGATGATGGAGTATCACTGTTGTCGTAATTGTAATCCAGAGGAATTGTTGTCGTGTGAATTTCTCGCTGCCGTTTTCTCGCTGAAGTGGGGTTCCAAGGAAGGAGGAGAGGGGCTGGAGGGGGCTAGGGGGGGGGGGGCTGGGGGGGGGGGCTGGGTGGGGGGGCTGGGGGCTGGGAGGGGGCTGGGAGGGGATGTTTGGTTTAAATGTTGCGCCCTAGGACACCACGCAGAATGTGGTGAATTTATATTTTAAAATATCACCACCACCACCATCATCCTCTCGCGTTGTTTAAATAATCGGTCGTGGTGGTTGGACGTAAGGAGGGCAATTATGGATGTCTAAAAAAAAATCTTATGTCGCGATGAATATATTTGCAAAACAGAAAACAGTCGTGCATTCACTTTGTTCATACTGTACATTATTTTAGCTTCCATCGTTGATTATTGTTATCATCATCATCACCAGTCTTCTGTGGTTGGTTGTAAGCTGCGCCTTGTTGCAATGTTATATTTAAACCTCGGACTGGGATATAACTTCGCAAAGAGAATAGAGCCAATTCGTTGTTCTATCCAACATCACCACCGCCATCATCATCATCGTCTTGTATTGTTTCTGCTAATCCGTCTGAGCGATATGAAATCGGATGTCTTTCCTAAAAACAAATCTTCTGCTAAGATATCCGTGCAAGCGAGAATAGTTGATTCCGCTATGCTCACAACATCACCATCGGAGCCGTCCCTCGGCTACGGGACGACCGTCCCGGGCCCTGCACTTTGGGGGGGGGGGGGGGGCACACGGTGGGTGGTTTGCTCCGAGCCCCGCACCTGCCCGCTATAGACTGCCCTCATCACCATCACCACCATCATCATCACCATCACTACCATCATCACCACCATCATCACCATCACCACCATCATCACCACCATCCTCTGCATTGCTGGCATCGTTTCTCACGATTCTGTGTAAAAGCGGTGGTCGAGTTTCAATGAGTGTGTGGGGGTGTGGGGTAGCAGTGCAGGTGGTGTGTGACACGCGTGCCTCTACGCGAAGAAAACCCTGGGGATCGATTCTTGAGTTTGAATGTTCACCACACCACCCCCCACCTCGCCCTGCTCTGCGTGGGATGTCCTCCTTCCATAGCTACATAAAAACAACAACAATAACAACATACAATGTGACACTGGTGTTGGCCAAGCATCCTCAATGTAGCAGGACCCTCCTGAAAAAGAGTTGAGACAGCCTGTGGCTTTCCTGGGTAAATAACGTGTACTATCTCTGAATGATAATTTACTGTTATAAGTGATGTATTACACTGGTCAACATACTTTTTTCTGGCATAAGGTATTCCAACGGTTTTAAGGTAATTTTGGGGTGCCGATTCCAAATTTGGCATCAGTTTTTATCCATCACATCAGGTTTTTGAGCTATCAAATATTGCATTTTCAATAAAAACTGCAAAAGAAAAATATTAAATAAATGTGGATATCTTCATAAAATGATATTATAAACACACTATCCGAAAAATACAGTACCATATTTTAACACTAAAGCAGTCACTGACTCGCAACAACTTGCAATCGTAAGTGACAGAGTTAATTTCGGGTAAAATCAATGAAAATGGGGTATGCCGATAGCATAAAAATGAGATATGATAGGGCAAATCTGAGATCAGATTTTTTTTGTTGACCAGTGTTATTATCTTGGGTTGATGTTCGGCGGGGAGAGGCTATTGCCACTTACATTGAATACACCACCATCATCCTCTTCAATAACTCTATCACTTCTGCTGATTAGGCTAAGTGCTGTGGGGTTCGCGGGGTACATATTTGACGTCGGTGTTTTACACCCTCGGTTGAGATAGGTGAACGAGCGAGTCTTCGGTGTCATTAAGTTATTGTGCAAATGCATCATCATCACCACCACCAACAACCGCCATTCGCCACTAAGTGGCGGTGACGTCACCTACGGACGCTTGTGCCAGGCCTATGTGCACCTTGAGGCCACGTGAAGTGTCGAACGCCCGCTGGCAGGAGGTCACGGGGCAGACCAAGCAGGTGCCACGAATCGACTGACTGAGATGACTGGGCCCATGCACCACCCATGCCCCCTACTGTGTCACCACCATCACAGTCTCTTGAATTCCGATGGTGGTCAAGATTATTATTTGAGCTAAGTGGCCAGTGAAATTAGATGCGTGTGTGTGTGTGATTAGTATCTTGTGCCGAAAGATGTATGCGAGATAATTGGCGTTGATGTCACCGTGGTGATACAATGAATGTGAAAGCGTCATCCGTGTAATCATCCCTCGTGGTGCTTTGCTGAGATTTGTTTCCTGGCAGTTGTTGGGGTCGTGAGTGGTGGCGAGGCACACGCAGCGCGCACAGAAGTGCCGTGTGTTGTAACCTCGCGCTAATTTGTGTGCGTGCGCGCGCAAGAGAGAAATTTATTAAAACTAAATACAAAGCTTTCGTGACTGCAGGAATTAATCTTTGGTTCTTTCGGTAAAGTCACGTAGAAATACATTAAATAATAATAGAATACGACGTTTCGATTGGAACACAAGCAACCATCATCAGGTACAAATGAATGAGAAGACACACATGGTAAACTTGGAAATATAATGCAATACAACACAGATAGTCGTCCAACACCACAGTCAATACCCCACCTGGTTGATTACGTTCTTCCAAAGATTGCTCTGTGTCGATGTTTTGTGTCTCTGTCTCAAATTTAGCAATCTTTGGAAGAACGTTAATCAACCAGGTGGGGTTGTTGACTGTTATGTTAGTCGACTCTGTGTTGTATTACATTGTATTTCAAAGTTTACTAGGTTTGTTTTCTCTTTCATTTGTACCTGATGATGGTTGCTTGTGTTGCGATCGAAACGTCGTAATCTATTATTATTTATTTTAGTTTATTTCTACGTGACTTTACAGAAAGAACTAATGATGAATTATTCACTTTAGTTACGGTTCGTACATCATCACCATCGTCATGAGCAAAGACAAAGACCCCCCCCCCACCCCCGTATAGCCTTACCAGACTGTAGGGGCAAGTGCTGTTAGCGAGCAGCACCTATGAAGGCCGGACACGGTACACGAGGGGGTGGGTGGCCAGCACCACGCCCGGCCTCTACCATCATCAGAATCACGGCCACAATCATCATGATATACTGATCATCATCGTGACCGATCATCATCATCACCACCATCATCACCACCATCCCCTCCATAGTAATCCTCTCGTTGTGGATGCTGATGCTGCTGCCGAGAGCTGAGGTAGCAACGTGGGTGATGGATGCAATGTGTGGAGCGTCAATGCCGGCTTCTATTCAATTTCCTATTCAACGCGCCTAATGCACGCACCCTTGCATAACGCACACAATGCGTGCTCTATTCATGCACGACCCACTGCCCAATACATGCTGTGCCACACGATAATAAATGTTTACATAATACACACACGTAATGTAGTATACAATAACACGGTTATGCACACGCACACACTGCAACAACAATACATTGACAGCGCATTGTGTGTGTCCCACACTAAACACGAGTTCGATTCCCGCTCACGGCCAAGGCCAAGTGACGATTATCTGAACCGGTTCATGGGCCACCCTTAGGTCGACTCGGCCTCAAACGAGTATCCGGTGCGGTGTTTAAAAACATCGACACTGGGGAGACAAAGGCGGCCGGGCGTGGTGCTGGCCACCCCCCCCCCCATGTGCCGTGTCGGCCTTCATAGGTGTCACTCGCCAACGGTACTTGCCCCCAAAAGTCTGAGCCTACACGCGGGACCTTTGTCTTTGGTTTAGAGCAGGAGATCCACATTGACCTTTACCCTCCTGCACATTGCTGCTGCCATCTCGCGCAAAGGTAGACGGCGGTCATTTATATTCCCCCATTCGTGAAAGCGTTGAATTGTGTTGTTGTTATTGTTGTTGTTGTTATGCTTGTGCCCCAACCACCGCCAACGCAGTAACGAGTAGCAGCAGTCGCCGTCGCCAGATAGATGTTTTTCTTTACACGCTTTTATGTAACTCGCTCTGTCTGTTGTTGTCATATCCTCAAATCTTGTAACTCAATTTTAACCCATTTCCTAATGTGGTATCGACTGCAAACTTGGTATACTTATGTCATACTGATGACAATACTATATTCTATCATGAAAAATGAAAATGTGTAAACAATCTTTTATGATATGTTTCGGCTTGGGTCTAATTGTCCACGCTCAACTAACGTTGGCTGTAATTGGCCACGGCCCATTACATTATGGTAAGCTTCGGGGCCACTTCCTGGAGTCTGCCATTACTCTCGTACGGTACATTTCATTAAAGCGTGCTTAAAAAAAAGTGTTTTTAAATATTACTTATTTTAAATTAAATATCCGTGTGTGTCTTTGTGTGCAGGCCTCTGCGATAGAGATTGAGAGCGCGAGTTGTGGTTGAGAGAAGAGAGGAGTTGTTGTGGTTGAGAGAGAGACCGAGCTAAGAGAGGAGGTGGCGAGGTCGCGACCCCGTTGGCCGAGATGAACCCGGCCGACCCGCCCGCCGACTCGCCCCCCGTGCTCATCACGGACGCGGCGGGAGGGCGATCATTCATCCGCGGGCGACTACTCGGCAAGGTGGGTCCATAGCATCACCACCCTCCCCCCCCCCCCCCCCCCTACAGCGTCTCGCCAGTGTTCATATCTGGTTCGTAGCGTGTCCGTATCGGCATCTCGCGTGTACAGGACGGCTGGTCCGTAGCACCTCCGTAGCATGCTATGGAGACGCTATGGAGACGCTATGCACCAGGTATTTCCGCGAGATGCTGTAAACTCCCAACTCCTCTAACCCTGTTGCCAACCGTGAGCTCTGACTGACCCCTGACCCCTAAACCCTCGAACCTTGTCCCCTAGCCCCAATTCTTCTCGCCCCAACTCGTCTAAGCCCAACCTTGTCACATATTAACTTTAAGATGTTTTTTGTTCATGTTTTTGTTTTTTGTTTGTTGCGGTTGCACCCGATTCAAGAGCCGAATGGCTCACAGGGCTATACCTAATAAATGAACTTGAACTTGAGCTCCATCCCCTAGCCGGCGCACCCCAACCGAACCCCGGAAGCCCTGATCCCCTACCGGGGTGGGGGCTTTGGGGTCAAAGGGCAGAGCCGGCACTGCCAAGGTCTGGGTTCGCCGCAAGTGATTGTTGAGAAGGGTCTCAAGTGCAGCGAGTTGGTGGTCCATTACCAGCGACTGGCACAAAGACTCGTGGAGAGACCCCGAGGCTTCTACGAAGTATACTAATAGGGTTTTTCCCCTTTTTTGCTGGCAACAAAAACTGACACCTTTTGCAAGGAATCATGCTTACATTAACCACAATACTTTTTTTTGCATTTGACTGCAAGTATTGTGGTTAATGTAAGCATGATTGTTTGCAAAAGGTGTCAGTTTTTGTTGCCAGAAAAAAGGGGAAAACCCCTATTAGTATAATCTTAATTTTGGAGCGTTCGTGACTGCACGAATTACTCTTTGGTTCTTTCGGTAAAGTCACGTATAAAGATAAAATTAACTTATTATTTTATCCCTATTAGTATATTTTGGTACTGGCAAAGGAGGTCCCACTTCTACGGAGTGTTCTTTAGCGCGCTGCGCTACGAACGCGGCAACCCGAGTTCCATTCCCGCTCGCAACAAACATCGGGCGACGAATATCCGAAGCGGTCCTGGGCCTCCTCCAGGTTGACTGGGCGTCTCTGATGCGGTTTGTGGACATCGGCACCGGGGAGACAAAGGCGGCCTGGCGTGGGTTTTGACCACCCCACCCCCTCGTCGTGCCTTGCCGGGCCCTTCCCAGGTTACTCCTCGCTAGCGGCACCTTGCCCCAGAAGCCTGTTGAGTCTACCCGGGGGATCTTTGTCTTTGTCTATGTGTGGTGTTGCGGTTAAGTGATTAGTAAGGAGAGCGGTGGTGTAGCGGTTAGCGCGCTGCGCTACAAACCTGGCGACCCGGGTTCGATTCTCGCTCGCGGTGAACACCGGTGACGATAATCTGAGCCGGTCCTGGGCCTCCCCTAGGTCGACTCGGCCTCAAGTGAGTATCTGGTGTGATGTGTAAACATCGCCACTGCGGAGACAAAGGCGGCCGTGGGTGGTGCTGGCCACCCCCCACCCTCGTGCCTTCGTAGGCGCTCGCAAACAGCACTTGCTCCAACAGTCTGTTAAGGCTACACGGGGGGGGGGATCCTTTGTCTTTGTGTGTACGCAGGGCGGCTTTGCGCGGTGCTATGAGGCCACGGACACGGCCACGCAGAAGGTTTACGCCATCAAGGTCATCCCACACTCACGCATCGCCAAGCCCTACCAGCGCGAAAAGGTGCGGTGAGCGTCGGCATCGTCATTGTCAGCATAATCGTCATTGTCGTCGTCATAATCGTCGTCATTGTCGTCGCCACTGGTCATAATTGGTGTAATGATCATCGCCATCGTTATATTTGTAATCGATGTATTCATCATCGTCACCATTATTGTGTTCGTAATTATCATCACCACCGTATATTTGTAATCGTTGCATTCGTGAGCATCGCCTCCGTTGTGTATTCATCGTTACCGTTGCATGCTTGATGGTCTCACCACCTTTTGTGTTCATGATCATCGATGATCATCGGTAGCAGGGCGAGAGGTTTACTTCGCGCGTGGAGCCGATTGAGCCAAGACGATTCTCTGTCGAGGGCGACCCGCCCTGTGGACAACGAATCCCGTCTGTGCCTCTTGGGCCAGCAGGCGTGGCGATCGAGAGCTGTTGCAGGGGCTGCGCCTTTACCGCTTTTGCTCGGAGCTGACGGTCGGCTGTCGGGGCCTCCAAGCGCCATGAAGCGTGGGGCCTGCGATAAATAAATAAATAAACACCCCACCCCAAAAAAACTCTACTCGTTAAAACATTTCCCGCTTGCCCGATGTGCTTTGGGCAAGCGGTTTAGGAGAGGGCTCTCTATCTTACTCGCACGATCTAGCTTGATTATAGTTACTCCTTAGCAGAGGTCGCAATCGGGTACCCGATACCCGATACCCGGCTACCCGTACCCGGCCGGGTATCGGGTAGGGTACCCGTTTGCGACCCTGGTGCGGCCGGGTACGGGTAGGCCGTGAGTCACTGGTGAGTAACCGTTTGTCACTCATTTCCCAACGTCTTGTCTCTTCTCACAATTCAAGTTCCTAGAATCAACCCACCCGCGCCTGCAACATGGCTTCATTCCAGAGGTCGCAATCGGGTACTCGATACCCATACCCGGGTATCGGGTAGGGTACGGGTACCTGTTTGCGACCCTGGTGCGGCCGGGTACGGGTAAGGAATCAAAACCGATTTGCGACCTCGGCTCCTTAGACGGGGACGGGGGGGTTACACTGGACAATTATGTAACCCTTGTTAATGACATTTTAAGGACCAGGGGCCGATTACAGATGCACTGGAAAACCACGCAGAGCCATGCCGAAAATAAACCCCCACCCCCACCGTTTCCTTGCCTCCGCCGTCTCCTGCCCCCCCCCCTCTGGCCCCCCCTCCCCCCGTCTCCTGCCCCCCCCTCCTGCCCCCTCCCCCCGTCTCCTGCCCTCCCTCCCCCCATCTCCTGCCCCCCTCCCCCGTCTGCTGCCCCCCCCCTTCTCTCCCAAACTCCTCGCCCTTCCTCGCCCGTTTCCGCATCGCCTGTTGAATTACATTATTACATTCCCTCCCCCCCCCCCCCCCATGCTATAAACTCCCGCGATGCCGCCCCCCCCCCCCCGCCCATCGTTGTGGCAACCGGTTTGGCGGCGACTGTCCACGGAGAGATCCCGGAAGCGCGCGCACGACGAGTGAATGCGAATTCGGGAAGGGAAGGAAGGACGTGGGGGTGGGGGGGATGGAATGTGGACGGCTGGTCCCCTGCGCGTGCGAACCCTCCAGCGGGGTCGTGCGCATGGGGAGCCGAGCAGAGCAGAACGCGGCTTCCGCGCTGCTATGGGGTGCGCGGCGCGTCGGATGGGGGTTGTGGAGGGGGGTGTGGGTCGGGCACTGGCGGGCGGGGGAGGGGGGCATGTGAATGAAATGAATGAGTGGGCCGAAATGAATGTGTGAATTCAATTGATTTGGGGGAACAAAACGTGGCAGTTACTACCACACACGTTTAGAATTTGAGTGCGACGTTTCGCTGGTGATTCCAACCAACTTCATCGTGGGTGGGTGGGTGAGTGGATGGGTGAGTGAGTGAGTGGGTGAGTGAGTGTATGCGTGAGTGGGTGAGTGAGTGTATGCGTGAGTGGGTGGGTGAGTGAGTGTATGCGTGAGTGGGTGGGTGAGTGAGTGTATGCGTGAGTGAGTGGGTGGGTGGGTGAGTGAGTGTATGCGTGAGTGGGTGGGTGGGTGGGTGAGTGAGTGTATGCGTGAGTGGGTGGGTGGGTGGGTGAGTGAGTGTATGCGTGAGTGGGTGGGTGGGTGGGTGAGTGAGTGTATGCGTGAGTGGGTGGGTGGGTGGGTGAGTGAGTGTATGCGTGAGTGGGTGGGTGGGTGGGTGAGTGAGTGTATGCGTGAGTGGGTGGGTGAGGTGAGTGAGTGAGTGGGTGCGTTAGTAGGTGAGGTGAGTGAGTGGGTGTGTGAGTGAATGTATGCGTGAGTGGGTGGGTGAGTGTGGGTGAGTGTGTGCGTGAGTGAGTGTATGCGTGAGTGGGTGGGTGGGCTGAGTGAGTGGGTGCGTTAGTAGGTGAGGTGAGTGAGTGGGTGTGTGAGTGAATGCGTGAGTGGGTGAGTGAATGTATGCGTGAGTGGGTGGGTGACTGACTGACTAACTGACTGTTTGGTGGTCCAGGTGGAGCGCGAGGTGGAGCTGCACGGGACGCTGCGTCACCCCCACGTCGTCCGCTTCCACTACCACTTCCAGGACGCGGAGAACGTCTACCTCCTGCTGGAGCACTGCAGCCGGCGGGTGAGCAGCACTGCCGCAAACCAGCACCAAACCTGCCATAACTCGCACCAAACCTGCCATAACCAGCAGCAAACCTGCCATAACCAGCAGCAAACCTGCCATAACCAGCACCAAACCTGCCATAACCAGCACCAAACCTGCCATAACCAGCAGCAAACCTGCCATAACCAGCACCAAACCTGCCATAACTCGCACCAAACCTGCCATAACCAGCACCAAACCTGCCATAACTCGCACCAAACCTGCCATAACCAGCACCAAATCTGCCATAACTAGCACCAAACCTGCCATACCCAGCACCAAACCTGCCATAACCAGCACCAAACCTGCCATAACCAGCACCAAACCTGCCATAACCAGCACCAAACCTGCCATAACCAGCACCAAACCTGCCATAACGAGCACCAAACCTGCCGTGACGGCACCAAACCTGTCATAACGAGCACCAAACCTGCCATAACCAGCACCAAACCTGCCATAACCAGCACCAAACCTGCCATAACCAGCACCAAACCTGCCATAACGAGCACCAAACCCACCGTGACGGCACCAAACCTGCCATAACTAGCACCAAACCTGCCATAACGAGCACCAAACCCACCGTGACCGGCACCAAACCCGGTGCGTGCAGGGCCTCCGCCGTGCCGATCCCCGTGGCGCTGATCCCCAGGTGGTTCCCAGCTACGAGCAAGCGCCACCCCCGACCCCCCCAAAGCGCCTCCCTCAACCCCCTTGCCGGGAGCCCCCAGGATTCCCCACAATCCTAGGAATGGGGTGCGGTGGCGGTCGGGGGGGAAGGGGGAGGGTGGTGCGAGGGAGGGAGGGGAGCCGGTGGTGTTGTTGAAAAGGGGGGAGGGTGCAGTGTGGGTATTTGGGGGGGGGTGGTGTGAGGGAGAGAGGGAGGGGGGGTGGGGGGGGAGACGGGGGAGGGGGCGGGAGAGGGAACGGGGGAGGGGGGGAAGCTGCCGACACCGTTCTCTGACAAAGACAAAGACCCCCCCCCCCCCCATAGCCTCAACAGACTGTTGGGGCAAGTGCTGTTCGCCAGTTAGCAGCACTTACTGCCAAGGCCGTCACGGCACACGAGGGGGTGGGTGGACCAGCGCCACGCCCGACCGCCTTTGTCTCCCCAGTGGCGATGTTTACACGCCGCACCGTGTAGTCGTATCGCGCTGTGGGATGCAATTGGCATGAATTGCACTCTTATTAAATCTAATAATTATTTGAGGCTGAGTCGACCTCGGGGAGGCCCAGGACCGGTTCAGTTAATCGTCGTCGTCGGTAGCCGTGAGCGGGATTCGATCTCGGGTCGCCGGGTTCGTAGCGGCGGTCCCGCTCGGTCTCCGTCACCGGCGTAAGTTCCCGACGTGCGAACAAAAACCCCAAAACAACGGCGACCATGATCCATCAAGTGCCAGTGCGCAACAGGCCCCGGGGCCCGTGGCGGTAGTTGGTGAATGTCGGTAGCCCCCCCCCCCCGACCACCACCAAGGGGCCGCTTTTCGCTGGGGTTTTCGCTTACGGGGCGGCAAGCCAAGAACGGGCGAGCGATTTGTTGACCTCCTCCTCTACTTTGCACTCCCCTCGTGTTTTTGCGTTGTTGTTGTTGTTGTTGTGACGTTTTGAACCGGTGCCCCGACTAGACATCTGTGGGGGCAAAAGCTTCACAGCTCCATCGGATCGCTCCGGTATAGAAAGATTCTGACTCGTTGTAAAAATTCGCGGTGCGAATCTGGCGGTCCGCCCCGGTTATTACTCTCGTGCATATTGACCGTAGAGAGAGCGAGAGAAAAAAACCCCCACTTCTTCGATTTTTAGCGCTTAAATGCAGAGTTGAGCAGCAGTTCAGCCCCCGCCCCCCCATATCCTCTCCTGCGATCGCGGCCACCCCCGCGGATCACGCAGAGCGACCGCGTGAGAGAAAAACCCCCCTTGGATTGACGTGGCCGGTTCTCACTCCTGGGGCGATTCCGCTGATAAGCGACGCGACTTCGCGCCGAGGTTTCGGCCCTTTGTCGCGTCGTCTCTACGGGAGATGTCGCCGTTGGTACGGAGGGACGCTCTCACCGTGTCGGTGACCAAATGTCCGTCGTGGAATCCCCTGTGTCCTCGTGATTTAAATCCCCTCTCGTCGCTCCCATCCCTCCCCCTGCGTAGTCGCTGGCCCACGTGATCAAGGCGCGGAAGTTCCTCACCGAACCCGAGGTGCGCTACTTCCTGCAGCAGATCGTGGCGGGGCTCAAGTACCTCCACGCATGCGGAGTCGTGCACCGTGACATCAAGCTGGGTACCCAGCCACTCGCACCACCCACCACCTACTCGCACCACCCACTCGCACCACCAACACCCACTCACACCACCCACTCACACTTCGCACCACTCACCACGCACTCGCACCACCCACTCACACTTCGCACCACTCACCACCCACTCACACCACCCACTCACACTTCGCACCACTCACCACCCACTCTCACCATCCACCACCCACTCTCACCACCCACTCGCACCACCCACTCACTCGCACCACCCACCCACTCACTCGCACCACCCACTCACTCGCACCACCCACTCACTCGCACCACCCACTCACTCGCACCACCCACTCACTCGCACCACCCACTCACTCGCACCACCCACTCACTCGCACCACCCACTCACTCGCACCACCCACTCACTCGCACCACCCACTCACTCGCACCACCCACTCACTCGCACCACCCACTCACTCGCACCACCCACTCACTCGCACCACCCACTCACTCGCACCACCCACTCACTCGCACCACCCACTCACTCGCACCACCCACTCACTCGCACCACCCACTCACTCGCACCACCCACTCACTCGCACCACCCACTCACTCGCACCACCCACTCACTCGCACCACCCACTCACTCGCACCACCCACTCACTCGCACCACCCACCCACCCACACCACCCACCCACCCACTCGCACCACCCACCCACTCGCACCACCCACCCACTCGCACCACCCATCCACTCGCACCACCCACCCACTCGCACCACCCACCCACTCGCACCACCCACCCACTCACAGCACCCACCCACTCGCCCACCCACTCACACCACCCACCCACTCACCACACTCTTACCACCCATTTCACAAAAAAACAAAGATTCCCCGTATAGCCTTCACAGATTATTGGGGCAAGTGCTGTTAGCGAGCACCAATGAAGGCCGGAACGGTACACGAGGGGGTGGGTGGCCAGCAACCACGATGTTTACTGCACACCGTACCAGGTATTCATTTGAGGCTGAGTCGACCTAGAGGAGGCCCAGGACCGGTACAGATAATCGTCACCGTTGTTGGCCATGAGCAGGAATCGAACTCGGGTCGCCGGGTTCATAGCGCAGCGTGATAACGACTACACCACCGCTCCCACCCACCCACTCCACCAAACCCATCCCTGTGTTACCCGCGAGGGGGGGGGGGGGTGCAGGCATATTCGCGTGTCTACATATGGGGAGCGGTGGCGCAACGGTTAGCACACTGCGCTACGAACCTGCCCCGTGGCCTGGACGTGTCCGAACACGCACCCGTGTGGACCGTGCGACCGCTGTTTGTCTCGGCAGGGAATTTCTTCATCACGGAGCGAATGCAGCTCAAGATCGGAGACTTTGGCCTCGCGATAAGGCTCGGCGAGGGAGTGGAACAGAAGAGGTGCCAGACCCCCCCCCCCTCCACTTCACTCGCGCCCCGTCCCCCATCACGTGTCTGTGTCTCTCTATGGGTCTCTGTTGATTAGCACAGGTGGCTACGTACGGTGCAAAATAAGTTCTACATGCATGTCTATCTATGGGTCTCTATTTTTGTCGAAGGGTTTCTGTTGGTCTCTGAATATCGATGGGTCTCTGTGGGTCTCTATGTATATCGATGGGTCTCTATGGGTCTCTATGTATTTCGATGGGTCTCTATGAATATCGATGGGTATCTATGAATATCGATGGGTCTCTATGTATATCGATGGGTTTCTATGGGTCTCTATGGGTCTCTATGAATATTGATGGGTCTCTATGGGTCTCTATGAATATCGATGGGTCTCTATGAATATCGATGGTTTCCATCGATATGGAAACCATCGATATTCATAGAGAGACCAACAGAAACGCCTGGTGTACAGGAGGTCGTTTGTTTGATCCCGACCCTGGACGCCTGCTGTTTATATTTGTAGTTTGCATGGATTTTTCTCCGGGTCCTCCGGTTTTTCCCTCCCACATTTTAGAATCAACATCACCACGCGTTTAAGAGCTTATTTGGCTGCTGTTATAGATTTCCACACGATGACGAGGAGCCACTTCCTTGAGCTATCATTTGTGATGGCCTGGTCGCTTGTGAAAGAAGAGCTACATCGCTCGGGGTGGGCCTCACGTGGTACAATAGAGAAGTTTAGTTTTTGACAGTTCATAGTTCACATACGGTTTACACCGGAGCCTGCAAGGTGCAAAAGCGTTTTGTGGCCTCCACGTCTCGGACCCTCGTCGCGCCACGCGGCCTCCTGCGCACCTACGTGGTCGTCGTTGTCGTCATCAATATCGTCATCATCGTTGTTGTCATCATCGTTGTTGTCATCGTTGTCGTCATTGTCGTCGTCGTTATCATCGTTATCATCGTTGTCGTCGTCATCAACATCATCGTCGTCATCTTTGTCGTCGTCGTCGTCGTCATCGTTGTCTTCATCGTCGTCTGTTGCAGGACGATCTGCGGGACTCCCAACTACCTCGCTCCGGAGGTCCTCAACAAGCAGGGCCACGGGCGCGAGGCCGACGTGTGGGCGTTTGGCTGCATTGTGTACGGCACTCACGTGACACGCGCGCACACGTGCCACACGCGCACATGGCACACGCACGTGGCACACGCACGTGGCACACGGGCACGCACGACGAACGCCGTGAGCGGAACCCTCAGCCCTAGCCCTGCTTGCCCCCCCCCCCTCCCAACCCGAGCCAGATTCAGATGTCGCAGCCAGTCGAAAAACCAGCCGTACCGTGCTGGCTCGGCTCGGATGTGCCAGGTGGGGCTGGGGAGTTGTGGCTTGAAGGTGGTATTAAGCCCTCGGTGGGGGGAACACATTTTTCCCATCCCTGCCGTAAATGTGCGCAATCGTCTGTTGTTATAGCGATTGGTCGATTCACATTTACGGTCCGTGGTCTTTGATTGGCTGGGTTTAAAGGGTGGTTGCAAGTCTCGGGCAGCGAGTCCTCCACAGGCGGTGTTGAGTCTCTGCGGTCAGTGGTGGCAAGTGGTGGCGCCGTCCAAATCCCAGCTTAGCCTCGCTTAACACCTCGACAAACATTCGCTCGTGACTTGAACCTTGAACTCCAACGGTTGACCCTTTGCGACCCGCCCACCCCCGCTCTCCGCGGCGAGCGGCCGCGCTCGCGAGGAATTCTGACGGCGGTCGTGCCTCAAATTCCGCGTCAACCACAACCCCGGCGATGGAAAAAATGAATCCGGTCAAACCCTCGCCCCCCCCCCCCCTCAACCATTATATATACGGAGTGGTATCTCCTGTAATCTCTCATTTACTTGATACAGCTGTCGGGCTGTGACGGTTCCACCTGAAGACGGACGCTTGTGTTGCCTCCGAAACGTCGTGATTTTTATTTTATTTTGCTTTTATTAATTTAAATTTTTTACCTACGTGACTTTACCGAAAAAACCTAAGAATACTAATGCCCCCACCCCAATACCCACATTGTGCCCCCGTCCCCCGTTGCCCCGCTCCCACAGCTACACGCTGCTGGTGGGGCGCCCCCCGTTCCACGCGGGCGAGCTGCGCGACACGTACCGGTGCATCCGCGAGGCGCGCTACCCGCTGCCCGCGACGCTGGGACACTCGGCACGCTCGCTGCTCGCGGCGCTGCTGCGGCTGGCGCCCGGCGAGAGGCTGGGCCTCGACGGCGCCCTGCAGCACCCCTTCTTTACACAGGTGGGGCAGGGTACCCCGCTCCACCCACCCACTATCCACCACCCACTACCACCCACCCACCACCACCCACCCCTTCTTTACACAGGTGGTGACGGGTACCCCGCTCCACCCACCCACCACCCACCACCACCTACCACCACCCACCCACCCACCCACCACCACCCACCACCACCACCCCTTCTTTACACAGGTGGTGACGGGTACCCCGCTCCCACCCACCCACCACCCACCACCCACCACCACCACCCACCACCCCTTCTTTACACAGGTGGTCAAGGGTACCCCGCTCCCACCCACCCACCACTACCCGCCCACTCACCACCCACCCCACCCACCACTCACCCACCACCTACACCACCCACCCACCACCCACCCACCACCCCTTCTTTACACAGGTGGCGACGGGTCCCCCGCTCCCGCCCACCCACCACCCACCCGCTCACCACCCACCCACCCACCACTACCCCTAAAGCCTTCAACGGACTGTTAGGGTGCACGTGCTGATGTCGAGCACCCAAACGAGTTCCGGCACTGCGGACGATGGACAGGGAGGGGGGTGGGGTGGTGGGGGGCAAAGATCCCCCGGGTAGCCTTGATAAGCTTTTGGGGCAAGTGCTGCTGGCGAGGTAGCACTTGACGAAGGCCGGCACGGCACACGAGGTGGTCGGGTGGTCACCACCACCACCACGCCCGCCCCCCCCCCCCCCCCCCCCCATGCCGATGTTTGACACGCACCGCGCCGGGCGTGGAATCGACCTCGGGGGGATGCCCAGGAGGACTCGGGTGCTGGTTGCCGTGGGCGACCCGAGGTCCGATTCCCGCCGGGTTCGTGGAGCAGCGCAGCGCCAAACCGCCGCTCCCCGCCGGCGGGCGCACGGACGGGGAGACGCCTCCGCCTGTTTGCTCGTTAGCGCCTCGTCAGTCGCGCCGCTAACAGCGGCCCTCCACGTGCGTCACCCGGTGGGGGTGTGGGGGGGTGGTGGGGAGGGAATTGCCTTTTCTCACCGAGGGTGCAGAGAGGGGTGATCCTGTTTCATCACGCGGGGGTCTCCCCTGTCAAGGGGCGGTGCTGGTTTAGAGGGGGGGGGGGGGGGGGAGTGCCGCCGTCAAATCAAACGCGCCCCCCCCCCCCGTGCCCAGGACATCCCGTGCCAGATCCGGTGACTGCTGCGGATTTTCATAACCCAGGTCGCCTCCCCCCCCCCACCTTCACCCGCGCGTCGCTTCACGCTTCTGTCCTTTTGTGGTCAACCGCGTAGCAGTGGTGGCCTTGCTGTTGTTGCAAGCTGCTGTTGCAAACTGCTGCTGCACACTGCTGCTGCAAGCTGCTGCTGCACGTTGTTGCTGCAAGCTGTTGCTGTAAGCTGCTGCTGCAAGCTGCTGCTGCAAGCTGCTGCTGCAAGCTGCTGCTGCACGCTGTTGCTGCACGCTGTTGCTGCAAGCTGTTGCTGCAAGTGCCGCTGCTAGTGCCACTGCTGCTGCAAGTGCCGCTTCTGCGGCAAAGCTGCAAGCTGCTGCACGCCGCTGCTGCCGCTGCTGCTGCCGCTGCTGCCTGTAGTCCTCCAGCGCTGTGGCGGCAGCAGCGGGGGGGTTGGTGGACCGCCGCGCACTGCTGGGTTGGTGGGGGCGTGCGAGCAGGAGCCAGAACTCCCGGCTCGCCAGCAGAATGCGTCGCAGGGTGAAGAAAAAAAACGTGGAACTCCACCACCTCGTTCCCTCCGCCGCTTTCCTCCCGCTCGTTAGCGTTCGCTAATTGCCCTGAAACTTTGTTATTTTAAAGAGCTACCCCGCCCACGTGGTGACGTTCCCGCGCTCTCTTCTCTTCCTACCACCCCCCCCTCCCCCCCCAAAGGGCTTCACGCCGGAGCGACTGTCCAGCAGCTGCTGCCACTGCCCCCCCGACTTCCCGCAGGAGCTGAGCCCCCCGCGGGCGCTGCTGGTGCGGGCACGGGACCTTATCTTCGGCAGCGGCGGCAGCGGCCGGCGAGACAAAGCGAGCCGCGACGCGGCACCCGCCGGTCGGTGTCACCGCAGAGTGGGGGAGGGGGGGGGCTGGAGGGGGGGGGGGGGCTGGGCGGGGCGGAGCTGGGGGGGGATGAGGTTGGGGGGGGTGGAGGGGGCGCTGGATGAAGTGGGGGGATGGGGCGTGGTGGGCGATGGTTGTGGAGGGTCATAGGTGGTGATGTGCCTTGCAGTAGCATAGTTTTTTTTTGGGGGGGGGGGTAGTGCAAGAGCCCATTATTTGGGGGGGGGGGCGGTTTGTATAACAAGAGAAGTCTTGCTCCAGCCACTGCTGGATGATCGAGGCCTGGCGTGTTCGTGGTGGGGGGGGGGAGATGTGGAGCGGCGTGTGGGCCGGGCCGCGTGAGATGGCCACGTTTTTGCGGTGGGATGGGGCCGGGGGGGTGGTGGGGGAAGATGCCTTTATCCAGCAGTGGGTAGATAACGGCCGATATCGATGCGCGATGTTGTTGCCCCCGAGACGTGAGCACGTGGTCACGCCAGCCCCCATCCGTTGTGTTGCCCCCCCCCTCCCCCGCCACCGTGCAGACGGAAAGCCGGATGAGTCGCTGTCCGAGGAACTGGCGAGGAGAACCGCGCTGCTGCTGCGTGTCAAGGAGGTGAGTGCGGGGTCAGCGGTGGGTGACGACCCCACGCTGCCGGTTAGCTGGGTAGGGGGGGGGGCAGGGAGAGCGAGGAATGGTGGTGTGGGTAGGCCTTGGCAAGGCAAGGTAAACGTTAAAAGGTAATAAGTATAACCCGTAAAAACAAAGTTTTTCACTATAAATCCTTTATATGCGTGGCGGCTAGAGTCCTCTCGTCCTCTGGCTTGAGATGGCTGCCACCTATGGGTCAGATGATTGTCTGCCAGTATTAAGCAATTGGTAATTAAATATTAATTGTTTTCCCTAAACAGTGTAAATTTTTTGACAATTTCTTTCACGAACATTAATTGTATCACACAACGAGTCTGTGTGCAAAATGTCAGCTCGATTGGATCACGGGAAGTGGGTTAAAAAACGACCGAAAGATTTGCACGGTCGTAAGCAACCAAGCAAGCACGCAAGCACGCAAGCAAGCAAGCGAACTTAATATAAAGGATTTAAAAACGAGGCTACCTTTACCCACCTTTTACCTTACCCCTTGCCATGTCGACGCCTTTACCTTTACCCTTTTACCCGGTAAAAAGGGTAAATTACCTTACTTTGCCGAGGCCTAGGTGTGGGTGAGCGAAGGAGGGGGTGGATGGCCGAGGTGAGAACGGGGCTGGGTTGGTGAGTAACACAAGGTGGGTGAGCGGGTTAGGTGAGTGGATGAGTAGGTCGGCTTAAAAAGAACCATGGCCCTATGTGACCTTTTTGCCAGTATCCGAAATGATGAATAATAAGAATAGGTTGTACCCTTTCTAGCTGTAAAACAGCTGTGTTAAGATGTCCAAACACCAAACTGAAACCTTTTTCAAGGAAATCGTGTTTACATTAACTACAATACTTGTGGTCAGAATGCAAAAAAAAAAATACTCTAGCATATGCATTGTCTTTTAAACTGATTGGTCCACACCAGAGACAGCTTTCTTTTGAGCCTCGTCTCAAACGGTGCTCGGGTGCTAGACCAGAGGACGCCAAAAGGCGTACACAGCCCAAAGACAATGCACTATCAGAGTAATGAGAGCTCGGGGTGAGCATCTACATCATGGGACCTCCTTTGCCACTACCAAAATTTGATAATAGGGTTTTCCCTTTTTTTCTGGCAACAAAACCGGTGTTGAGATGTTAAAACACCAAACTGAAACCTTTTACAAGGAATCATGGCTGCATGAACCACAATGCTTGCGGTCAGAATTCAAACAAAAATCATGCTCTGACAATATATGCATTGTCCTTGAAACTGATGGTCCACACCAGAGACAGCTTTCGTTTTAAGCATTGTGGTTAATGCAGACATGATTCCTTGTAAAAGATTTCGGTTTGTTGTGTTTACATCTTAACACAGCTGTTTTGTTGCCAGACAAAAGGGGAAAACCTATTCTCATGTTTTGGTGCTGGCAAAGGAGGTCCCATGATAAAAACGCATGCGTATGTTTCATCAATACAAGAACCATTTTAAAGCATTCATTAACTTGGGTTTCCGCGCTTAATTTGACCGCTGGAAATCCCAACTCTGATGAGCGAAACGTCGAGTTTAACCCGCATCGGCGGCGAACGTGATCGTCACGTGGCCACGCGCGCGCGGTTGGTCTGGTGGTGGTCTCGTGGTGGCCTGGTGGGGGTGGTCTAGTGGTGGTGGCCTGGTGGTGGTGGTCTGGTGGTGGTGGTCTGGTGGTGGTGGTCTGGTGGTGGTGGTCTAGTGGTGGTGGCCTGGTGGTGGTGGCCTGGTGGTGGTGGTCTGGTGGTGGTGGTCTGGTGGTGGTGGTGGTCTGGTGGTGGTGGTGGTCTGGTGGTGGTGGTGGTCTGGTGGTGGTGGTGGTCTGGTGGTGGTGGTGGTCTGGTGGTGGTGGTGGTCTGGTGTGGTGGTGGTCTGGTGGTGGTGGTCGTGGTGGTCTGGTGGTGGGGTGGTCTGGTGGTGGTGGGTGGTCTGGTGGTGGTGGTGGCCTGTTGGTGGTGGTGGTCTGGTGGTGGTGGTCTAGTGGTGGCCTGGTGGTGGTGGTCTGGGTGGTGGTGGTGGTCTGGTGGTGGTGGCCTGGTGGTGGTGGCCTGGTGGTGGTGGCCTGGTGGTGGTGGCCTGGTGGTGGTGGTCTGGTGGTGGTGGTCTGGTGGTGGTGGTGGTCTGGTGGTGGTGGTGGTCTGGTGGTGGTGGTCTGGTGGTGGTGGTCTGGTGGTGGTGGTCTAGTGGTGGTGGTCTAGTGGTGTGGCCTGGTGGTGGTGGCCTGGTGGTGGTGGTCTGGTGGTGTGGTGTGGTGGTGGTGGTCTGGTGGTGGTGGTGGTCTGGTGGTGGTGGTGGTCTGGTGGTGGTGGTGGCCTGGTGGTGGTGGTGGTCTAGTGGTGGCCTGGTGGTGGTGGTCTGGTGGTGGTGGTGGTCTGGTGGTGGTGGTGGTCTGGGTGGTGGTGGTGTGGTGGTGGTGTGGTCTGGTGGTGGTGGTGGTCTGGGTGGTGGTGGCTGGTGGTGGTGGTGGTCTGGTGGTGGGGTGGTCTGGTGGTGGTGGTGGTCTGGTGGTGGTGGTGGTCTGGTGGTGGTCTGGTGGTCTGTGGTGGTGGTGGTCTGGTGTGGTGGTGGCCTGGTGGTGGTGGTGGTCTGGTGGTGGTGGCCTGGTGGTGGTGGCCTGGTGGTGGTGGTGGTCTGGTGGTGGTGGTGGTCGGGTGTGGTGGTGGTCTGGTGGTGGTGGTGGTCTGGTGGGTGGTGGTGGTCTGGTGGTGGTGGTGGTCTGGTGGTGGTGGTGGTCTGGTGGTGGTGGTGGTCTGGTGGTGGTGGTGGTCTGGTGGTGGTGGTGGTCTGGGGTGGTGGTGGTCTGGTGGTGGTGGGTGGTCTGGTGGTGGTGGTGGTCTGTGGTGGTGGTGGTCTGGTGGGGGGTGGTGGTCTGGTGGTGGTGGTGGTCTGGTGGTGGTGGTGGTCTTGGTGGTGGTGGTGGTCTGGTGGTGGTGGTGGTCGGTGGTGGTGGTGGTCTGGTGGTGGTGGTGGTCTGGTGGTGGTGGTGGTCTGGTGGTGGTGGTGGTCTGGTGTGGTGGGTTGTGGTGGTGGTGGCCTGGTGGTGGTGGTGGCCTGGTGGTGGTGGTGGTTGTGGTGGTGGTGGTCTGGTGGTGGTGGTGGTCTGGTGGTGGTGGTGGTCTGTGGTGGTGGTCTGGTGGTGGTGCTGGTCTGGTGGTGGTGGTGGGTGGTGGTGGTGCTGGTCTGGTGGTGGTGGTGGTCTGGTGGTGGTGGTCTGGTGGTGGTGGTCTGGTGGTGGTGGTGGTCTGGTGGTGCTGGTCTGGTGGTGGTGTGGTCTGGTGGTGCTGGTCTGGTGGTAGTCTGGTGGTGGTCTGGTGCTGCCCCCTGCTGTGGGCAGCCTGGATCGTCGCGCTGGAAGAAGGGGATCGATCTCGGCGGGAGCTCTGTGACCTCCGCTCTCGTGGGGGCCGGGGGGGGGGGGCGGCGGGGGTGGGCCGGGGGGGGGGCTGGGCTCCCTCCTCCCACCCCCGATCTTTCTGAGATTTTTCACCCCTTTTCCTCGTCCCGAGAAAGTTGCAAGATGCAGGGTGTGGGGGGGGGGGGGGTGGTTGTTGTGGGGTCTTCCCGTTCACCGCTGGGAATCTCGGAGCGAGTGACTCGGCATGAATTTTATCCGATTTTGTAAAACAAATATATTTATTTGATTTTATTTAGCGCCCCTGTTCTTTTAAAGACGACGTCACGCCCCGCAGAGAACCCGGAGCGGCACAACCGCCCGCACTCTGCGATAGTCGGCGCCAACGCTGTGCCGTGCGCCCTCCAGCCGCGCAAGCCCGTTGCTTCCGTTGCCGCTCGGAATCGATTCCGTTTCCGACGACGTCGAACGTTTGTAATTGGAGCGCAAACGGAAGGGAAAGGTGATGGACGTGCGTGCCCGCACATCGTCAGAACGCGAGGAAGAGTTCATCGATCGCCAGGTCGTTCGTGACGCCGATTTTTAGACCTCTGCGGTGGACGGCGTCGGCGCAGTTTAATTAGCGCGGTTCTAATTGGTGCGGTTACTATTTCCCCCCCCCCCCCCACCGCCCACGGCCCCCGCGGTTAGGACGACACCGGGAGCAAGAAACCGCCGCTGTCGCCGGTCCCCACGTGGCTGCAGTGGAAGTGCCGCGCCCGACGCCGCGACTCCTGGGTGCGCGATGCCCCGGGCTTGCCGCAGCAATCCGGCACGACCGCCACCTCGCCACGATCCGGCATGACCACCACCACCTGCCACCTCGCCACGATCTGGCACCACCGCCACCATCACCGCCACCGTCACCGCCGCCACGACAACAACAGACTCCCCAACCGCCGCCTCTCCGCCACGCGGCGGTGCCACCACCGCTGCCGCCACCAGCACCACGCCGCCCTGGGCAAGCGCGAGCCAAGCGGGCGCCGCCATGCCGCCGACAACGCCGCTGACGCCGCTCCCTGGCGCCGTGAGGATTGTGAGCGCGGCCACGCCGCCCCCCTCCACAGACTCGATAGGTGAGGGGGCGGGGGTAGAGGGGGCTGGGGTCGGGGGGCTGGGGGGGGGTGGGGGTTGGGGGGCTGGGGGGCTGGGGGGGCGGTGTCGGGGGACTGGGGGGGGTCGGGTTCGGGGGGGTCGGGTTCGGGGGGTCGGGTCGGGGGGGTCGAGGGCAGGGTCGGTGGGTTGGGGGATCGGGGGGGGTCGGTGTTTTTACACACGGGGAGGCCCTTGGGCTCGCAAAGACACGGTGGGGGGATAATTTTACATTCTAAAGGCAGCCGGGTCATAGGCGAATTATAAAAGGAAGGCCTCGAGCCTAGACTTACACAGGGGCAGGGGGTCGACAGTATGGACTGTGGAAGGGGGGGGGGGGGTGTAAGGAATGAATTCTAGACAGTGGGGGCAGCACAGGAGGAGGAGTGACCTCCCCACTGAGCTCCGAGGCACTCGAGTCAACTCTGGGATAGATTTTCTTTGTGCGTTGATATTTTGTCCGGTGCGTTGTTCTCTGGGTTTATCTTGCACATGCGTAGAGTTTCTGCGCGCGTGTGTCTGTGTGTGTTGCTCGCTCGGAGCTGGGCCTGGGCCTTCCCTACGTCTGCTCGGCCTCATTTGAGTAGCCGGTGCGGTGTTTAAACACCGTCACTCGGGAGACAAAGGCGGCCGGGCGTGGTGCTGGTCACCCACCCCCTCGTGTGCCGTGCCGGTCTTCATAGGTGCTACTCGCTAACAGCACTTGCCCCAACAGTTTGTCAAGGCTACATGGGGTGGTCTTCGTCTTTGCACACTGGGTGGAAACGTTGGTGCTGAAAAAACGTTACAAACCCGGTGACACGAGTTCAATTTCCAGCCGGTGCTTCTTGTAAAATATATATTTCTATATATATAATGTATTCTAGATTTGAAGCTTTCGTGACTGCAAGGATTCATATTCTTAGGTTTTTTCGGTAAAGTCACTATAAAATAAAAGTAAAATAAAATAAAAAATCACGACGTTTCGGAGGCAACACAAGCTTCCGTCTTCAGGTGGAACCGTCACAGCACGCTTGCTGTATCAAGTAAAAAAAAAAACCTAAGAATATATATAATGTATATATACACACACACGAATAAATAAAAATACGTACGTATTTCTATATAAATATATATTCACGCATACATTTAAAATATTGTAATATTTACGTGGTCGTGCATTTTACATTCCCAGATTTCATGGGAAATGACACTCTGCTGAGCATCACCGACACCTTCCTGGAGCTGCTCAACCAGTGCCTGGAGTCCACACAGATGGGTACGTGCGCCCCCCGGGGGTCCGTGCGCCCACTGGCGGGATTGCTCGTGCCGAAAACGATCGCCGAGTTTGCCCGTCGCGCTTGCTCATTTTGCGTGTCCGCTGCTGGTGCTCACTACCGTTGCTCGTTGCCGGGCACTGCGGCTGCTTTGTCGTGGATGCTCGCGGTCGCTCGTCGTGGTCCGATGGCGTCGTTCACCACGCTTGCTCCGTCGTGGATGCTCGCGGTCGCTCGCTGCCATCGCTCGTCGCGGTCCGATGCCGTCGCTCACCGCGCTTGCACCGTCGCGGTTGTTCAGCGCCGCGCTGGGAGGAGGTGGCGGCACCCGCGTCACCGCCGGGCGCCGAGTCCCCGCCGCTGCTCTGGGCGGTCAAGTGGATCGACTACTCCAACAAGTACGGCTTCGGATACCAGCTGTCGGACCGCAGCGTCGCCGTCCTCTTCAACGACGCCACGCACCTCCGCCAGCTGCACGACCGCAGGTGCAGCACCTCCACCACCAGCAGTATCACCACCACGACCAGCTACAGCACTACCTGCACCACCACCAGCACCACCACCAGCACCTACAGCACCACCACCACCTACAGCTCCACCACCAGCAGCTACAGCACCACCACCTACAGCAGCACCACCACCACCTACAGTACCACCTCCTCCACCAGCAGCTACAGCACCAGCACCATCAATCCGAACAGCACCACCTCCACGACCTCCACAATTCAATTTTGACTGGATTTGCGACCTCTGCTCGCGTGACCCCCGTGACCTCGGCGTGACCCCCCGTGGCCTGCGCGTGACCCCCGTGGCCTGCGCGTGACCCCCGTGACCTCGGCGTGACCCCCGTGACCTCTGCGTGACCCCGTGCTTGCAGGACGATCCACGCGTGCGTGCGGGGGCGGCTCAGTGTGCTGCTGGAACCCCCTGGGCCGGAGGTCGCGGCGCCGCTGTCGACGCACGCCAGCGTCCTGCGCTACCTCGCACGCTACATGCAGGACAACCTGGTGGAGGTGCGAGTGTGTGTGTGCGTCCACCCGTGTGTGTCCACCCGCGTGCGTCCACCCCTGTGGGGAGCGGTGGTGTAGCGGTTAGCGCTACGCTGCGCTACGAACCCGGCGACACGGGTTCGATTCCCGCTCACGGCCAACACCAGTGACAATTATCTGAACTGGTCCTGGGCCTCCCCTAAGTCGACTCGGCCTCAAATGAGTACCTGGTGTGGTGTGTAGTAAACATCGCCACTGGGGAGACAAATGCGGCCGAGCGTGGTGCTTGCCACCTTCGTGTGCACACAGTGCCGGCTTTTACAGGCGCCACTCGCTGCTCACAGCACTGTCCCCCGACGGTCCATCTGAGGCTGTCTCCGCTGTCCAGGGTGCTGACCTCCCGGCTGACCCGAGCGAGCTTTCGGACGGCCCGGAGCCCGTGCTGCTCAAGTGGAAGAAGACCGACTCCGCCATCCTGCTGCTGTTCAGTCACCACGTCCTGCAGGTGGGAGGGTAGCCCCCCCCCCGCCCCCCGCGAACCCTCACACCTGCCCAGCAAGGTGGCAGTACAGCAAGTCGGCTGGCAGGGTCGTCTGGAGTAGCCGATGATTGAGTGCAGGGAGCTTTCTTTCGAGCACCAAGCTAAAACGAAACTATTTATTTTACCAGGCAGGGTTCCACTGAGCCATGTAGCTCTCTTTCGGAAGTGACCTAGCTATGATGCGGCTTATCACCTGGACATTTACAGCAGCCGAAATATTCTAAACGCCACGTTTCTAAATCTGCACTCGAAGTACTCGGAGGTACTCGGAGGTACTCGGAGGTACTCGGAGGTACTCGGAGGTACTCGGAGGTACTCGGAGGTACTCGGAGGTACTCGGAGGTACTCGGAGGTGCTCTCCGGTTTCCCTGCGTGAACAGTGGAGGAGCTCCGTGCCGGATTATCCTCGTAGCAAAAGTATCGATTGCTAGGGGCCCCACACTTTCACAGGCCCCGCGCGAAATGCTTTCAAGATATCAATTCTTGTTCGGTGATTCTGCACTTGCTCTATTACTATAGTACTATACCGCCTTCAACTCTTATGAACGACTGGGTGTTTAAGGTTAGCGATTTGTCATATCTAGCTGTGTAGCAAATGAAAAAATACAATTCCTTTGCTATGCAAGTACAAAATTTGTGTTTTTAATATTTTAGTTTTTTTTAAGGGCCCCTTTATACAATATGCTACAGCCCCCTCCCCCCCCAACCTAAACTAACTCGCTACTCCTACGGAGGTTTACAACAACCAGTACAGTATTCACGATTCATAATTGGTTTCTTTTCAGTTTGGGTGTGTCGTGTATTAATGCCAGATTTAATGTTTTAAATGTATAAGAATCTTTTTTATCGAGGCAATGTTGCGGGGCCCGATTTTACATCACGCACATTGTCAACAAAAGCCAAAACCGGGTTATAAAAAGCATGGGGGGGGGGGAAGATGGGGAACTGGCTCGCTGCCCCCCCAAACCATCTGGGGACCAACCAAAAGGCGAGAGGGTGAGGCATAAAAAAATTAAAGATGACAACCCTCCACCACCACCCAGTGGCCAGAGACGATCTGTGTCGCGTTATCGCGTGAGGAGCGAATGGAGGTGGAGGAAAAATTGAGGAGCCCAAGCCAGGGGGTGGGTGGTGGTGGTGGATGTGGGTGCAATGGTCCTAACTTAATCTTACATGCAACTGGACATCTCTGGAAAAAAAAAAGCTTTGTAGCTCATCGGATTGCTCGGGTATACATATTCTGATTTTTCTACAATAGTTTTTTTTTTGGGTTAGATCGGTAAATATATAAATGTGTCGTTAAAACTCGCCACCACCCGACAACTAGAACGTGCCAATTCGTGACGCACGTTCTGTTCACGTGACAACCCTTACTAGTTGGCTGTGTCGGGTGGTGGCGGGTTTTAACGACACATTGATATATTTACGCCATCTATCCCAAAAAAAAACAACCTTATGGATGGTATTGGTCGCGAAAGTCTACATTTCGATTTAAAGCTTTCGTGACTGCAGGGATTCATCTTCTTGGTTCTTTCGGTAAAGTCACGTAGAAGGGAAGTAATAAAATAATAAAAATAAAATGAAACGGCTGTTTCATTCAGACGCTGTCTCCTCGACAGACCTGGTCTTCACCTGAGGACGGCTGCTTGCATTGTGGCCGAAACGTCGTGAGAATAATTTTATTATGTTTTATTTTTATTATTTTATTACTTCCCTTCTACGTGACTTTACCAAAAGAACCAAGAAGATGAAAGCCTACGTGTTAAGCATTCTGATTTTCTGCGTGCATCTTTTTGTGCTCTTCTCCCACCCCCCACTACCCCCCCCCCCCCCCACTCGCCCCCCGCCCCCCTCCCCTACGACAGGTGAACTTCTTTAGCGACCACACGAAGGTGATGCTGAGCCGGCACGCAGGCGGCCGGTGGCTCCTGACGTTCGTGAGCGAGGAGCGCGCCGTGACGACGCGCCCCCTCGACTCGCTGCACGCGCATGGAGTCTCTCCCGCGCTGCGCAACCGCCTGCAGGTTGCGCGCAAGCTCCTGCGGTAGCCACTTCGCCCGCCCATCTGCCTCGTGCCCTTGAGCGCGCGTCTCGAGGCTGGCTGGCTCGCTCGCCCGATTGATTAATCGGTGGTCACGGATTCGTCGATTCGTTTTGGAGAACGGTGTTCAATTTGGTCGTCGGTTCTTTCGGCCGCCATCGTTCAGCGACCGATGAAGTCGTTATTGATACGTTCATCGGCGGGCTCATTAATTTGTTTTTGTGCCCATATTCGATTTGGTCGATTTACCAAGTTGTGTATTTATCAGTCGATTAATCGTTTGTTTACTTGTTGTCGTCACGACGCTCCAGTAGCCGACTCGGCCATCTGGTTGCCCAATTGATACGTCCCGTGACCGATTCAGTCCATTGAATTTTTTTCCGTTGATTTTAAATTTAGCGATCCGTTCGTTCAGCGCCTTCATTGAGTGACTCGTCAATGTATCCGCTCACCGACTGATTCGTTCGTTCCCTGCACTCGTAGCGACGCGTAGATTTTAAAAAATCGTTTCTTCCGCTCGCCCGCCTATGACCGTTAATCCTGAGATTCGTTTTGTTTACGAGTTATTCAAAGTGATATGCAAACTGAGGGCCAGTCCCCTCGGTGGATGCTGCCGAGGATGGGGGTGGGGGGGTGTGCAAGCCACGTGGTCTGTACCTCCAGCGGAGCACCAGCTACTAGACGCTAGCATAGCAAGTAGGTTGGTAAACTAACTCCGTTTGTGGAGTTTTTCAGTGCAATCCCTGCACCCCCTCTCCCAGAAATGCCCAGCATCCCTCCCACACTTTTTAAAAATAACGCTAAAAAAAATAACTTGCCCAAACATGATCCCCCGTGGCGGGGTGGGGGGGGACATCCTCTTGCAAAGGAGTCTTAAGACTCCCCAAAGGTCCCTCCCTTGCGTAGACACTTTACATTAGTTGGAGTTAACTTAAAAGCCAAAACAAATGCATTATTGTCAACAGTCTTTGTTATCACGTGCGGTATTAGATTATCCGGGCCAGTTTTGTTACAATTATTAAGTTACACCGCAGGATTGCGGGAGGGGGTGGTGGTGGTGGCTTGGGGGGAGGCCTTAATCTAGCAGTGGATTGGCCATGACTAATGCGAAAATAAATTTGAATTATAACTAGCAACCTAAACCCACAGATCAATTGGAAGTCTGGCCGTCCCTCGCTCCAGCCAAGTCAGCCCAGCCAGCCAGCCAAACTTGTAAATAAAATAGTCGTAAAGTCTGCAGATATTTTCATAGTTTCCTGTGATGGCAAAGGCCTGTTGTAGGCCGTGTTCTCACAATGCATTGCGTGTTGTGCGAGGGGTGGGGGTGGGAATCTGCAGCCGTGCGGATGACTGTTGAAGTTGAATCTAATCGATTCGTAGACTTGGGCTACTCACGTTGACAATTCTTTAATCGGAGTTGTTTTAAACTTTGATTTAGAGAAGACGGCCTCCTTTTGTGGCCTAGTCACGGCAAAGTCTGTTTGTTATACCAAACCTAGGGCCAACGCCAATTATTTCACGCAGTAGCCATCAAGTTGAACGCTAAATAGTCTGGGAGGTCGTGTAGGTAACCATTTTCAAGATGTTGCACTTTGTTATAAATCTCCTTTGGGTCTAAACGGGTCTCTTTTTATACTTGATGACGAAAACCCTGTTACTGAGGGAGTTGTAGGCCTCGGGTGAAGCCTGTGTTGGAGGTGGAGGGGGGGGGCGAGTCTCCTCTGACTGCGGGGTGGGGGGGGGGGGCTCTCTTTAGGGGGGTTGCCACCTGTCCCTGGTTTTCCCCGGATAGCCCTCTTGTCGAGGTGATGATCACACTGCTGCCCTCTTTTTTTTTGTAATCTGCTAACTCTTCCCAGGACATTAAAACGGGCCTGGGTTTTTGTCAGTTGTGTGACATCAACAACAACAATCCACCACTCAAGGCAACGCATTCACCTGTAGATCTCTCGCCTCGTTCCAGGTATTCGCACGGCATCCTTCCACGTGCAATGTCCCGGATTGTCGTGACCTCAAGAGGGTGGCAAAAACCAACCCCCTCCTAACCCTAACCCTCCTCCAACTGTCCCAAGCAGCCTCCAGACCCTTAGGCCTGCGTTTTAGGTTTGAATCCTCTCGTCCGTGTGAGTTCCCAACCTCCACCGCGTATCGTTTCGCCCGATCGCTGTACTCCTCCAGAAGAAAGGCCCCTCGGGACCTGTCGCTATTTTAAAATTTTTGGCTGTCTTGTCTTGCAACTCCGCCAGCGCTTGCGTTGACGTGCACCGTCCCCGAACGGCACGACTCGCGCTCGGTAATGTTCCTAGGCCGAGCGTCGTCGACGGCGAAACGAACGTCGCCAGCAACGCAAGAACCCCGTCTGCGACCTGGCAACTTGGGTGGCTGGCAAAGGGGGGGGCAGACAGTTTCCCGGTCCTTTAATTCATTAATTCAATCCTGTATTCTCTCGGTCTTTATTCACCGCTCAGTCACTCGGTCAACGTGATTTGGATTCGATGTAAGCTCTGCTTGTTGGAGAGCAAAGCCTCTCTCTCTCTCTCAGGGCGGCTTCGCCTCTCCACGTGACCTCTGTCCGCGATCTGATTTAGACGTCGGCTCATCCCAAACTCTGTGACCGCCTGGGAGGAGCGTGCAAGATGAGATTTGTCTGGATGTCTCCGGCGCCGACTGTTGCCCCCCATCCGGGAACCTTCGGGGGACCCCGAGTTCCGTCGGTAGATGTTGTGGCGGCTTCGGCAGGCGGCGGGGGGGGGGGGGGGTCCTGTTGTGTGTGTGCCCTGCGTTGTAACGCGACCCACCCCCCTTCGCGTTGGCGATTTGTGCACTAACCACTCCTTTGTGTGCCTTGTGTGGTGGGGGGGGTGGGGGGGGGGGTCCAGTGTCTCCTTCACCCTTTGTGATGACGCGGTTGAAACAGTGGGGGGGGGGGGGGGGGTGCGGGCAGAGAGCGATGCCGCAATAGTTGGGCGCACTTGCGCTACGAACCCGCTGTGACGTCAGGGGCTGTGACGTCAGGGGCTGTGACGTCAGGGGCTGTGACGTCAGGGGCTGTGACGTCAGGGGCTGTGACGTCAGGGGCTGTGACGTCAGGGGCTGTGACGTCAGGGGCTGTGACGTCAGGGGCTGTGACGTCAGGGGCTGTGACGTCAGGGGCTGTGACGTCAGGGGCTGTGACGTCAGGGGCTGTGACGTCAGGGGCTGTGACGTCAGGGGCTGTGACGTCAGGGGCTGTGACGTCAGGGGCTGTATGACGTTATGGGCCTAATGATCCTCAGCCCACCCCACCCCTGTACACCTATTGCATGGCTGTTCAGTGCATATCTTGATGGCCTTGTTTTTTTATAAGAAGGAAGGTCAACCTCGAGTACTGTTTACAGGGGGCTGTGAAGCCTTACATAAGTGGCCCAGCCCGCAGAGTATTTATTTGATAGGTGTGTGTGTGCGTGCGCGTGTCTTTGCGTTAGGGCGGAGCGGTGGCGCAGTGGTTAGCGCACTGCGCTACAAAACCCGGCGACCCAGAGTTCGATTCTTGCTCACGGCCAACACCCGGTGATGGATTATCTGAACCGGCACTGGTCTTCCCCTAGGTCGACTCCACCTCAAATGAGTACCTGGTGCGGTGTGTAAACTTCGCCGCTTGGGGAGACAAAGGCGGTCGGGCGTGGTGCTGGCCACCCACCCGCTCGTGTGCCGTGCCGGCCTTCATAGGTGATGCTCGCTAACAGCACTTGCCCCAACAGTCTGTTAAGGCTACACGGGGGATCTTTGTCGTTTGTGTCTTCCTGGACCACGAATTTCCTATTCCCGCTCTGTTCCGGAGGTCGGCGGTGAAAATATTTGGAACAGATTCTTCCGTCTCCTCCTCCTCCTCTAGGTCCACTCGGCCTTAACCGGAGTTTTACCGCACGGGTGCCGGTGTGTGTGCGCGTGGTAACGGTTAGAACTGGGGGGGGGGGGGGGGAGACAAAGGCGGCCGGGTAGCGTGTGGTGCTGGCCACGCCATCTGCCTCTCGAGTGCCGTGCCGGCTTCTATCGGTGCTCACTGACAACACTTTGCCCACACCCGCACACACCCCCACACCCCCCCAAATCGGCCTGGGGGGGGGGTGTATCTTTTGTCGTTTAAACAATATTATTACGGTTAAGTAGCTTGGTTTACAGATGTGTGATTCTATGGGTCTGGATGAAGCACTTTATTGCAAATGTGTTTATCCACTGGCGTTAAGGCGACCTTTGGCCGACCTTTGGCCGACCTTACCTCGACCTTACCTCGACCTTTGGCCGACCTTTGGCTGACCTTTGGCTGACCTTTGGCCGACCTTACCTCGACCTGTCGCCGACCGTGGATTTCCGGGCAGTCTCCCGTACGATTCTCGTGCGCACGAGCGCCGGTGTCATTTCGACAAAAAAATATTTGGCGACAAAAGTGCGTAGAAATGTTTTTCTCGCGTGCGTGTAATTTATTTGCTTTGCGGGCATTTTATTTAAAGGTGGGGTGGGGTGGGGGGGGGGAGGAGGTGGATTTTTAAACACCAAAATGAAAACTTGCGGTGATTTTTAAGTGGTTGAAATAAAGGTGCGTATTTTCTTTAAATCTCCGCGTGCGCGTCTTCGATTTTATTGCAGCGACACGAAACATTCGCCGTCGAGCAGATCCGACATTGTTCCTGACCACTGCAAAACGAAAAGTAATATAAATTTTTTTTAAACACGCTTTAATGAAATGTATCGTACTAGTAATGGAAGAACTCCACGACTCCAGGACATGGCTCCGAAGCTTGCCATAACGTAAGGGACCGTGGCCAATTACAGCCAACGTTAGTTGAGTGTGGACAATTAGACCCAAGCCGAAACATAACATTAAAAAATTATGTTTAAAAATATTTTTTTACATTTTTCATGATAAAATATAGTATTGTCATCGGTATGACATAAGCATACCAAGTTTGCAGTCGATACCACATTGAGAAGTGGGTAAAAATGTAGTTACAAGATTTGAGGATACAACAACAAACGGTGAAATTTCGATTTAAAGCTTTCGTGACTGCAGGGATTCATCTTCTTGATTCTTTCGGTAAAGTCGCGTAGAATGGAAATAATAAAATAATAAAAATAAAACAATAAAATAATTCTCACGACGTTTCGGCCACAACGCAAGCAGCCGTCCTCAGGTGAAGACTGTCTTCTCAATAGCCTGTTCTTCACCTGAAAACGGCTGCTTGCGTTGTGGCCGAAACGTCGTGAGAATTATATTATTTAATAATGGGGTTTTCATTAATTTATTATTTCCATTCTACGTGACTTTACCGAAAGAACCAAGAAAACAAACGGTGAGTTAATAAAACGCGTGTAACACCCGGACCACGTGTCCACAACCAAACGCCGTTTGTGGGGCCTTCAAAGGTGGGGGGGGGGGGTGAACACCGAATCCGAATCAAAGACAGCGAGTTCCTCGTTTAACGCGGTAGATCCGTTTCGAAAAAGTGCTCCGAGAAGCAAAAATATTATCCCGTGACGAATGTTAACGATAAAGTTTGGCGAGACCCGATGACCTACTGCTACGCTGCACAAAACAACGACGGCGGTGGCGAGACGGTGGGGCGAATCGCTGAGGGTACGCTGCCGCCACGTTGCTGTATCGTTAGCGGACATTGAGTAGTAACTTCTCAGCGTGTCTCCACATCCTCGTACTTAACCTCTGCCACATCTCCTCCACCGCCACCACTAATCACCATCCATCTCATCCACCACCACCAACTACCATTGATCTCCACCACCATCCATCTCATCCACCACCAACCACCATCTCATCCACCTCTCCCGGCCTGCAACTTGGCCTCAACCTCTTACACCCCCCCCCCCACCATCTCCACCTCCATCAATCTCATTCACTCCCCCCCACCTCCCGTCGGTCTCCAACTTGCCCGCAATCTCTCACACTCCACCTCCCTCCATCCCTCCCATCCCCCCATCACCTCCTCCATCCCCTCCCCCTCCCCACCACCATCACCCCTCTACCCCCTCCCCACCACCATCACCTCCTCCATCCCCTCCCCCTCCCCACCACCATCACCCCTCTACCCCCTCCCCACCACCATCACCTCCTCCATCCCCTCCCCCTCCCCACCACCATCACCCCTCTACCCCCTCCCCACCACCATCACCTCCTCCATCCCCTCCCCCTCCCCACCACCATCACCCCTCTACCCCCTCCCCACCACCATCACCTCCTCCATCCCCTCTCCCTCCCCACCACCATCCACCCTCCACCCCTCCCCACCACCATCACCTCCTCCATCCACCATCTCCATCACCCCCCTCCCCACCACCATCACCTCCTCCCTCCCCTCCCCACCACCATCTCCATCACCCCCCTCCCCACCACCATCACCTCCTCCATCCCCTCCCCCTCCCCACCACCATCCACCCTCTACCCCCTCCCCACCACCATCACCTCCTCCATCCACCATCTCCATCACCCCCCTCCCCACCACCATTACCTTCTCTCCCCCCTCCCCACCACCATCACCTCCTCCATCCCCTCCCCACCACCATCACCTCCTCCATCCACCCACCCACCGCCTCACTCGTGGTAGAGGCCGTACACAGACGCCACGGCCACCACGTGGGCGGACACAAAGGTGGCGCTGGCCGCCCCGTCCGTGCCCTCGGCCCAGAGGCACCGGCCGGCCACGCCGAGGCCCTGGCCCGCGGCGTCGGCCATGGCCACGCAGCACACGAGCTTGTGCCTGTCGAAGCCAAGCCCCTTCACGCGCTCTCTGATGGCCTCGGTGAGGGCGCGAGCCGTCGCTGCGTTCCTCGCCTGCTGGTAGCTCACGTGGCGCAGGTGACCGCCGAGGAGCTCCTCCACGACCCGGCGGACTTTGGCGGCCGAGAAGGCCGCTGCCGACGCGGGGCCCAGGCGGTAGGAATTCTCGCACGGGGGGTCCTGGTGCCAGTCGCCCTGAGCCGGGGGCAACGGGAGGCCAGAGAAGCTGACGCGGCTCTGGGGCAGCAGCATCCACGACGCGACGGAGAGGCGGCGTTGGTCCTGCTGATGATGGTGCTGTTGTTGTTGTGGATGTTGTTGAGGATGTTGCTGGTGCTGCTGGAGGAGGAGGTTCATGGAGACCGATTCTCGCCGTGACGGCACCGACAGCTGCAGCGAGCCGCTCATCACCGAGCTGCGACGAGAGGGGCTGAGGCTCGGGGCTCTGGCTGGAACCTGGAGACGGTTGTGCTGCTGTTGCTCCAGCTGATGCTCGACGTTGGTTTGCACATTGAGATGTCCTCTTGCAGCCATGGCCCTGCGCTTGTTGTCCAGAGGACGCGATGTTGTTTCCTTTTAAGCTCACGGCGAACGCGAGCTGACGTTTCGGAGCGGCACCTGCCCCGCGGCTGGACTGGTGACGGCTGCGGCGAAGGAGCAATGAGGCACGAGTTATTGAGTGATAACAACAACAACACGCAGACCAACAATAGCGCTCAGGATTCTATAGAAAAAGTTTCTATAGAAAATAATTTCCGCCCTCTCCGCCCGTTCAAATTGAAGGAACGGGAAAGCGGCCGAAAGAGTCGACACGGGCGACTGACGCTTACCTGGCGGCAGCGGTGACAGGTGGAGAGAGAGAGAGAGTGGAGGATAATGGGGGATTGAAAGGAGGTGGTGGAGGAGAGAGAGAGGGGGGGTAGAGAGAGAGAAGGGGTAAGGAGAGCAGAGCATGAAATCTATTGTGAAATCTTTCATTTAAAAGGGGAGGGTGGAGGGGTTTACATTCAGTAAAGAATAAAAAAACCGAAATGATGAACGAAGCAAAGTGCCGACTACACCGAGCATCTTCGTGTTTCCTCTGATCGTAACAAAAAAAAGAGGAGGTGGAGGAGAGGGCGAGGGGCAGAGGGAGATGGGGAATGAGAGAAAGTGGTGGAGGGGAGAGAGAGGAGGTGGTATAAGAGGAGGTGGAGGAGAGATGAAAGGAGAGAAAAGGTGGTGGTAGAAGAGGCAGAGATGGGGAGGAGAGAAGCGGGAGAATGAGGAGGTGAGAGGAGGAGGGCGATCATGAGAGAAGAGAAGTTCGAGGGTGGAGCAGCGGAGGAGGAGAGTAGAAGAAAGGAGAGAGGTGGTGGTGATCAGGAAGAGAGTGGGGGGGAGGTGATGGGGAGCGGTGGCGCAGTGCTTAGCACCGCGCTGTGCTACGAAACCCGGCGACCCGGATTCGATTCCCGCTCACGACCGATACCAGTGACGATTCTCTGAACCGGTCTCGGGACCTCCCCTAGATCGACTCCGCCTCAAATGAGCACCTGCTGCTGTGTAAAACATCGCCACTGGGGGCCGTGTTTGGATAGCTGAGCCGTGGTTACTGACCACCCACCCACCCCCTCGTGTGCCGTGCCGGCCCTCGTAGGCGCTGCTGCTCGCTAACAGCACTTGCCCCAACAGTCTGTTGAAGCCTACACGGGGGATCTTTGTCTGGTGGTGGTGGTAGAGGTGTCGCGTGGTGTAAGCGGATACTTCGTGTGGGCGGGGGTAGCGGTTCAAGTTCATGTATTAGGTATAGCCCTGTGAGCCATTCGGCTCTTGAATCGGGTGCAAACGCAACAAACAAAAAACATGAACAAGAAAACATCTCAAAGTGACTAATTGACTATGTGCAAGCTGAAAATCCAAGAAAAGACAGCAAAATGATGAGAGAGAGACGCAAACTCCAAATCTACAGCAGCAGCAGGCGTCAGGGTCGGGATCGAACCCACGACCTCCTGTATACCAGGCGAGTTAGTCAACATCTCATAGCCACCGTGATGATGATAAAGTTCAAGTTCATGTATTAGGTATAGTCCTGTGAGCCATTCGGCTCTTGAATCGGGTGCAAACGCAACAGACAAAAAACATGAACAAGAAAACATCTCAAAGTGACTATGTGACTAAGACGCAAACTGAAAATCCAGGAAAAAAAAAACAGCAAAAATTCCAGAAAAAAGCACTGTACACAAAAATGTGCAAAAATCCCAGTGGGATGCAAGTCAAACAACAACAACAAGAGAACTTAGATTAAGGCCATCAGTCTAACTCCGTACTATAACAAACACACATGGCCAATACTTAATTTGAAGCTTTCGTGACTGCAGGAATTACTCTTTGGTTCTTTCGGTAAAGTCACGTATAAGGAGAAAATAATAAATTAAATACTAGCATACGACGTTTCAATTGCAACACAAGCAATCATCATCAGGTATAAATGAAATAGAAACACAAATCTAGTATACTTAGAAATGTAATGTAATACAACAGAGAGTCGGATAACATAACAGTCAATACCCTACCTGGTTGATTACGTTCTTCCTGAGAATGGCCAAACCAAAAAACTTTTCGAAATCACCAAAATAAAGCCATAAAGGCAATGCAACAGTGATCATAGGAACTGACCGAATTTTCACAATAAACGACATAAACAACATGTACCACCAGATAAAAGGGTAAAAAAACTATTATCATATTTTGCTACTGGCAAAGGAGGTTCCAATGGAGTATAAACCTAGTAAACTTAGAAATGTAATGCAATACAGCACAGAGAGTCGGCTAACACAACAGTCAACACCCTACCTGGTTGAATAACATTATTCCAAAGAGTGCTAAATTTGAGAGAGAGACAACACACAGACACGGAGACACACAGACAGACACACAAGCAGACAGAGACCACACAGAGACACACAGAGAGACACACACAGAGAAACAACGCCTCTCTCTCTGTGTCTCTGTGTTGTCTCTCTCTGTGTGTGTCTGTCTGTGTGTCTATGTTGTGTCTCTCTGTGTTGTCTCTGTGCTTATGTGTCTGTCTGTGTCTGTGTTGTCTCTGTGTGTCTCTGTATTGTCTCTCTCTGCTTATGTGTCTCTGTGTTGTCTCTCTCTGCTTGTGTGTCTGTCTGTGTGTCTATGTTGTGTCTCTCTCTGTGTTGTCTCTGTCTGCTTATGTGTCTGTCTGTGTGTCTGTGTTGTGTCTGTCTGTGTGTCTGTGTTGTCTCTCTCTGTGTGTCTCTGTGTTGTCTCTCTCTGCTTATGTGTCTGTCTGTCTGTGTGTGTCCGTGTCTGTGTTTTGTCTCTCTCTCAAATTTTGGAAGAACGTAATCAACCAGGTAGGGTGTTGACTGTTATGTTAGCCGACTCTCTGTGTTGTATTTCATTACATTTCTAAGTTTACTAGTTTTGTTTTCTCTTTAATTTGTACCTGATGACGATTGCTTGTGTTGCAATCGAAACGTCGTGTGCTATTACTGAATTTATTTTCTTTCTCCGCGACTTTGCCGAAAGACCCACGGAGTACTGATCGGGTCGTTTTAGCAGCCGGGGCAGCCAAAGGCGCGGCCGCTCCGTCCAATCTCCGCTTCCAGTGACACAGGCGAGTGGGGGCGAGTTCACACGCACAGGTCCACGGATCGAGTGACACTTTAACAAAGACCCTAACCCCCCCCCCCCCCCACGTGTAGCCACACACTCTCTCAGGCGGTTGGGGCAAATGCCGTCGGCAAGCAACAATTTGCTCCTGCTGCTGCTGCGAACTGGGTGGTGTGGTCTGGGCAAAACAACAACAACAATATCCCACGCCCGGCCGTCTTTGAACACACCCGTGCCGGGCAGTCATTTGAGGCCGAGTCGACCTAGGGGAGGCACCCTGGGTGTTGGTGGCCGTGAGCGCGCTGACCACCACGTCAGCGTATTTGCATGCAAAGACAAAGCTCCCCCATGTAGTCTTTAACAGACGGTAGGGGCAAGTGCTGTTCGCGAGCACAATTACATGCACACGCAGACACGTGACACACAAAGACAGACACATGACACATACACAAACGACAAAGATCCCCCGTATAGACTTAGCAGATTGCTGGGGCAAGTGCTGTTAGCGAGCACCTATGAAGGCCGGCACAACACACGAGGGGGTGGGTGGCCAGAACCACGCCCGGCCGCCTTTGTCTCCCTCGTGGCGATGTTTGCACACCGCACCAGGTACTCATTTGAGGCTGAGTCGACCTAGGGGATACCCAGGACCGGTGTTGGCCGTGAGCGGGAATCGAACTCGGGTCGCCGGGTTCGTAGCACAGCGCGCTAACCACTACACTACCGCTCCCCACACGCACACACACACACACTCTCACCCCACACACACTCACCTCACACACACTCACCCCACACACACTCACCCCGCATACACACCTCACACACACACCCCCCCCCCACACACCCCACACACCCCCCCCCCCACACGCACTCACTCCCACAGCCACTCACCCCACACACACTCACCCCCACACACACACTCACCCCCACACACACACTCACCCCCACACACACTCACCCCACACACACTCACCCCCACACACACTCACCCCCACACACACTCACCCCACACATACTCACCCCCACACACACACTCACTCCCACACACACTCACCCCACACACACTCACCCTCACACACACCCTCACTCCCACACACACTCACCCTACACACACTCACCCCCACACACACACTCACCCCCACACACACTCACTCCACACACACTCACCCCACACACACTCACCCCCACACACACACTCACCCCCACACACACTCACCCCACACACACTCACCACACACACACTCACCACACACACACTCACCCCCACACACTCACAGGAGGTAGTGGGTTCAATCCCGACCCTAACGCCTGCTGCTGCTCTATATATTTGGAGTCTGCGTGTCTCTTTCTCCCGTGGTCGCGTGGATTTGTCTCCAGGTCCTCCTGGTTTAATCATCATCATCGTCGTCGAACTTCCCGATTATTGGAAACGGACAGCGGTCTGTCCGTTTTACTGTCGACCACCGTGCACCACCTACTCCACCACCTCGGGTCATCCTCGCAGCAGCAGCAGCTGTAGCAGTGGCAGCTGTAGCAGTGGCAGCTGCAGCAGTGGCAGCTGCAGCAGTGGCAGCTGCAGTGGCAGCAGCTGCAGCAGCTGCAGCAGTGGCAGCTGTAGCAGCAGTGGCAGCTGCAGCAGCTGTAGCAGCAGTGGCAGCTGTAGCAGTAGCAGCAGTGGCAGCTGTAGCAGTAGCAGCTGCAGCAGTAGCAGCAGCAGTAGCGGCAGCTGTAGCAGCAGCAGGAGCGGCAGCTGTAGCAGCAGTAGTAGCAGTGGCAGCAGCAGCTGCAGCAGTAGCAGCTGCAGCAGTAGCAGCTGCAGCAGTAGCAGCAGCTGTAGCAGCAGCGGTAGCAGCAGTGGCAGCTGCAGCAGTAGCTGTAGCTGCTGTGGCAGCTGCAGCAGTAGCAGCAGCGGCAGCTGTAGCAGCAGCAGTAGTAGCAGCGGCAGCTGCAGTGGTAGCAGTGGCAGCTGCAGTGGCAGCAGCAGCTGCAGCAGTAGCTGTAGCAGCAGCTGCAGCAGTAGCTGTAGCAGCAGCAGCTGTAGCAGCAGCTGCAGCAGTAGCTGTAGCAGCAGCAGCTGTAGCAGCAGCAGCTGTAGCAGCAGCAGCTGTAGCAGCAGCAGCTGTAGCAGCAGCAGCAGCTGCAGCAGCTGCGGCGGCTTTCCGCTAAAGTCGTCGCACGAGGACGGCGGTGGTGGCCGCATTGTCGCGACGCGCCCGCCCTGCCACGGCCGTCTGGAAAGCTCTCCCGATATTCGGAAGCCGCGGTGGAGCTGCGCAGCGCTTTTAAGTCATCGTCGACATTTAAAAAAAAAATTAACCCGTAAAAACAAAGTTTTTCACTATAAATCTTTTATATGCGTGTTCAATGGGCCACAACCCAGCCCACATTGGTCTTTGAAATGGGCGGCTAGAGTCCTCTCGTCCTCTGGCTTGAGATGGCTGCCACCTATGGGTCAGATGATTGTCTGCCACCATTAAGCAATTGGTAATTAAATATAAAAAAAAAAATCCTAAAAGGTGTAAAATTTTGGAATTTTTTTTCACGAAAAGAAATTGTCACGCACAACGAGTCTGTGTGCAAAATGTCAGCTCGATTGGATCACGGGAAGGGGGTTAAAAACGACCGAAAGATTTGCACGGTCGTAAGCAAGCCAGCAAGTGAACTTAATATAAAGGATTTAAAAACTCATTTCTTTAGAACTCCTTTTTGGTGTTTTAGTTTGTTGTCGTTCCCCCCGCAACTCGGATCAGCGCGGTCGGCTACGTGCGGTGCAAAAGAAGTTCCACATACTCGTATCGACCGTCACGTTTCGTGTCCTGTTTGTTATTGTAGCGTGCTTACCCGTCCCGGCTGGACACCTGTAAAAAAACACACACAAAGCGCTTCATAGCTCATCGGATTCCTGCATTACACTGGTGAACAAAAACAAAAATCTGGCCTGGACTTTTGCAGCTGTTTTAAACTAATTTCAGGGTGCTGATTCCAAATCTGATCTCAGATTTGCTCTATCACATCTCATTTTTATGCTATCGGCATACCCCATTTTCATTGATTTTACGCGAAATTAACTCTGTCACTTATGATTGCAAGTTGTTGCGAGTCAGTGACTGCTTTAGTGTTAAAATATGGTGCTGTATTTTTAGGATAGTGTGTTTATAATATAATTTTATGTAGATATCCACATTTATTTAATATTTTTCTTCTGCATTTTTTCTTGAAAATGCAATATTTGATATCTCAAAAACCTGATGTGATAGACAAAAACTCATGCCAGATTTGGAATCAGCACCCCAAAATTACCTTAAAACCGTTGGAATATCTTATTTCAGAAAAAGTGTGTTGACCAGTGTAATCAATAAATCTTCTCTACTCTTTGGTTCTTTTGGTAAAGTCACGTAGGTATAAAATAAAACAATATAAATAATATAAATTAAATTAAATCACGACGTCATGTCTTGCTGTGGTTGTTCCCGCCTGATGACGGACGCTTGCGTTGCATTCGAAACGTCGTGATTTAATTAATTTATATTAGTTAATTTTTCACCTCCGTGACTTTACCGAAAGAACCAAAGAGTATATGGATCCCTGCATTCACGAAAACTTCACATCTAGAATAAACATTCTGCTGATTCTGATGCAAACATCTCGCGAAAGGAGTGAGAGAGTTCAAGTTCATGTATTAGGTATAGCCCTGTGAGCCATTCGGCTCTTGAATCGGGTGCAACCGCAACAAACAGAAAACAAAAACATGAACAAGAAAACATCTTAAAGTGACTATGTGACTGAGTGCAAACAGAAAATCCAAGAAAAGACAGAAAAATATTGCAGAAAAACCACCGTACACCAACATTGTGTGCAAAAATCCCAGTGGGATGCAAGTCTAACAACAACAACCACAAGACAACTTAGATTAAGGCCATCAGTCTAACTCTGTACTACAACAAATAAACATGGCCAAACCAAAAAACTTTCTAAAATCACCAAAATAAAGCCATAAAAACAATGAAACAGTGATCATAGGAACTGTGACCGAATTTTCACACTAAACTACGTAAACAACATGTACTACCAAACTGGCTGCATGAGTCACTCAACAACAGCAGGAGCATCAGTCGGAGTGTCAACATCACGACGTAGTTTCTTGAGAGAGGGGGAGGGAGGGAGGAAGACACGTGCCACGACAATGAGCAACCATCACCTCCTACCAGGAGTCGTCTGGAGATGCAAGGCGCTGCCAGTCGATGCTTGGGCCCCAGGCTGCAGCTGTGGCGGTGAAGTATGGACCACTCGCGTGTCACCGGCAGAATGGTGTTGGTCTTGGCAAGCCCTCGGTATTTGTCTGCTGGCGGAATGCGTTCCCTAGGCTGCGCCCGTCACCGTCAATGATTAACCTCCGAATCCTCGCATGAGCGCGGTGCGGCTACGTACGGCGCGAAAGAAGTTCAACACGCATGACGCCCTCGCCGATTCCACGGTTATGGATGGACGAGTCTTCTACCCGCCCCTACGGCGAATGCTGCTGCAGATACAACGGCTCGAGTTTTACATCTAGGATTCTAGGTGGTTGGGCCAGATGATTGCACACGAGGAGCGGAACGGTGAATCTCTGCTGGGACGTCTCCTTCTTCGTACGGGTCTCTGTGCGAGTCTGTGGGTCTCTGTGCGAGTCTGTGGGTCTCTGTGCGAGTCTGTGGGTCTCTGTGCGTGTCTCTGTGCGAGTCTCTGGGTCTCTGTGCGAGTCTGTGGGTCTCTGTGCGAGTCTATGGCTCTCTGTGCGAGTCTATGGGTCTCTGTGCGAGTCTATGGCTCTCTGTGCGAGTCTATGGGTCTCTGCGAGTCTGTGGGTCTCTGTGCGAGTCTATGGGTCTCCGTGCGAGTCTAAGGCTCGCGAAGGACGCGGAGGGCAGAGGAGCGACGCTCACAACAACGAGCGGAGCGCCAGGCGGCTAAAACACAACAAGGGGGCAGAGTTGGTGCATCTACCGTAGGTCATCTCAGTCGGTCAACCCCTGGCCCCTGGGTCTGTCCCGTGACCTCCTGCCATCAGCGAGCCCTCGACACTTCACGTGGCCTCGGAGTGCACCGGCTACTGTGGCGAGTGACGCCTGTTGTTGTTGGTGGTGGTGGGTGGTGAGTGGTTGGTGGTTGGTGGTGGTTGGTGGTGAGTGGTGGTGGTGGTGGTGGGTGGTGGTGGGTGGTGGTGAGTGGTAGGTGGTGAATGGTGGTTGGTGGGTGGGTGGTGGTGGTTGGTGGTGGGTGGTGGTGGGTGGTGAGTGGTGGTGGGTGGTGAGTGGTGGTGGGTGGGGGGTGGCGGGTGGTGGGTAGTGGTGGGTGGTGATGGGTGGGGAATGGTGGTGGTTGGGGGTCGTGAGTGGTGGGTGGTGGTGAGTGGTGGTAGTGGGTGGTGAGTGGTGGTGGGTGGTGAGTGGTGGTGGGTGGTGGAGAGTGGTGAGTGGTGGTAGTGGGTGGTGGGTGGTGGTGGGTGGTGAGTGGGTGGTGAGTGGTGGGTGGTGGGTGGTGAGTGGAGGGTAGTGGGTGGTGAGTGGTGGTGGGTGGTGAGTGGTGGCGGTGGGTGGTGAGTGGTGGGTGGAGGGTAGTGGGTGGTGAGTGGTGGTGGGTGGGTGGAGAGTGGTGAGTGGTGGTAGTGGGTGGTGAATGGTTGTGGGTGTGAGTGGTGGGTGGTGGGTGGTGGTTGTAGTGGGTGGTGTTGTAACTCGAGTGCCGTAACTCGAGTGCCGGAGGCGTTAATTCTCCCTCGGGGTGGGGGGGTTTGAGGGGGTGTGGGGGGGGGGGCTGTATGGGGGGGGGGTGTGGGGGTGGGGGGCTGAGTGGGGCCGGCGTTGTCTCGACATTACGGGGCACCGCGCGCGGTGTTTTCCCAGCCAAATTCTCGAGTCATAATCTCGCTCCCCGTGTGTCTGAGTAAAACAAAAAAAAGATATAAAACACCATACACACACACTTTCATTATTTGTTTTAGCGGGCAAGGCCCACTGAGCTATGTAAAAAAAATTCACAAATGGATAGCTCATGTGGAAATGTACAGGTTGCCCAAATATTCTGAACCGTGTGGTTCTAAATAAGGATGGAAAAACACCGCAGGAGCCGGAGAAGAATCCACGCGACCACGAGGAGAGTGACACGCAAACTCCAACTACGCCACAGGCTTCCAGGGTCGGGATCGAACCCACGCACTGCTGTATACCAGGCGAGGTAGTTAACATCTCCTAGCCACCGTGATGATGATGATGAGAGAGAGACGCAAACTCCAAATATACAACAGGCATCGTCAGGATCGGGATCGAACCCACGACACCTTGACTGATTTGGAGAGATTCATCTCCTCTGCCAAACCACGAACGGCATTGCCTAGATACGAGGACACCTCCACCAACTTGGCAACGCCACTGCTACCAACCCTAACCCGTGTCTCACTAAACCCATGTCTAACTAAACCCGTGTCTAACTAAACCCGTGTCTCACTAAACCCGTGTCTAACTAAACCCATGTCTAACTAAACCCGTGTCTCACTAAACCCATGTCTAACTAAACCCGTGTCTAACTAAACCCGTGTCTAACTAAACCCATGTCTAACTAAACCCGTGTCTAACTAAACCCATGTCTAACTAAACCCGTGTCTCACTAAACCCATGTCTAACTAAACCCGTGTCTAACTAAACCCATGTCTAACTAAACCCGTGTCTCACTAAACCCGTGTCTAACTAAACCCGTGTCTAACTAAACCCGTGTCTAACTAAACCCATGTCTAACTAAACCCGTGTCTCACTAAACCCGTGTCTCACTAAACCCGTGTCTAACTAAACCCGTGTCTCACTAAACCCATGTCTAACTAAACCCGTGTCTCACTAAACCCGTGTCTCACTAAACCCATGTCTAACTAAACCCGTGTCTCACTAAACCCGTGTCTCACTAAACCCGTGTCTAACTAAACCCGTGTCTCACTAAACCCATGTCTAACTAAACCCGTGTCTCACTAAACCCGTGTCTCACTAAACCCGTGTCTAACTAAACCCATGTCTAACTAAACCCGTGTCTCACTAAACCCGTGTCTAACTAAACCCGTGTCTAACTAAACCCATGTCTAACTAAACCCGTGTCTAACTAAACCCATGTCTAACTAAACCCGTGTCTCACTAAACCCGTGTCTCACTAAACCCGTGTCTAACTAAACCCATGTCTAACTAAACCCGTGTCTCACTAAACCCGTGTCTAACTAAACCCGTGTCTAACTAAACCCATGTCTAACTAAACCCGTGTCTCACTAAACCCGTGTCTCACTAAACCCGTGTCTAACTAAACCCGTGTCTAACTAAACCCGTGTCTCACTAAACCCGTGTCTCACTAAACCCATGTCTAACTAAACCCATGTCTAACTAAACCCGTGTCTAACTAAACCCATGTCTAACTAAACCCGTGTCTCACTAAACCCGTGTCTCACTAAACAATCGAGCGGAGCATAAATACTATGCCTCAGGCGTGCCGCCTAGACAACATCACACACAGTCCTATATATATACATTTAAAGACGAAAAAAACTAAATTTCGATTTAAAGCTTTCGTGACTGCAGGGATTCATCTTCTTGGTTCTTTCGGTAAAGTCACGTAGAAGGGAAGTAATAAAATAATAAATACCAGGTCCGTCGACGGACCTGGTTTTCACTTGAGGACGGCTGCTTGCGTTGTGGCCGAAACGTCGTGAGAATTATTTTATTATGTTTTATTTTTATTATTTTATTACTTCCCTTCTACGTGACTTTACCGAAAGAACCAAGAAGACGAAAAAAACTACTTTATCAAATTCTGGGGGCAAGTGCTGTTATCGAGTATAACGGGCGAGGGGTGGTTGGCCAGCAGAACGCCCGACCGCCTTTGTCTCCCCCAGTGGCGATGTTTACACACCGCACTGGGTACTCATTTGAGGATGAGTTGACCTAGAAGAGGTCCAAGACTGGTTCAGATAATCATACACCAACACCTGCCATTCGCCACGAAGTGACGGTGATGTCACCACGGCGCCTGTGCCAGGCTAGGTGCACCTTGAGGCTACCACGTGAAGTGTCGAAGGCTCGCTGCTGACAGGTCTCGGGACTGACCCAACAGGTGCCATGGGTTGGCCGAATGAGATGAACGGCAGATGCACCACCAGCTGTACCCCCCTACTCTGCCAGGCTAGGTGCAGGAGATCTTGGGACAGACCCTGCAGGTGCCATGGGTTGGCTGACTGAGATGACCAGTAGATGCACCACCAGCTGTACCCCCCACTGTGCCAGGCTAGGTGCAGGAGATCTTGGGACAGACCCTGCAGGTGCCATGGGTTGGCTGACTGAGATGACCGGTAGATGCACCACCAGCTGTACCCTCCTACTGTGCCAGGCTAGGTGCAGGAGATCTTGGGACAGACCCAGCAGGTGCCATGGGTTGGCCGAATGAGATGACCGGTAGATGCACCACCAGCTGTACTGCCTACTGTGCCAGGCTAGGTGCAGGAGATCTTGGGACAGACCCTGCAGGTGCCATGGGTTGGCCGAATGAGATGACCGGTAGATGCACCACCAGCTGTACCCCCCTACTGTGCCAGGCTAGGTGCAGGAGATCTTGGGACAGACCCTGCAGGTGCCATGGGTTGGCTGACTGAGATGGCCGGTAGATGCACCACCAGCTGTACCCCCTACTGTGCCAACTTGCTGCATTTTATCCGCCCGGCGCTCCGTTCGTTGTTGTGAGCGTCGCTCCTCTGCCCTCCGTTATTGCTGGAGGGCGACTGCCTCCAACTGCCCAGCAGCAGCAGCGTCTTTCACGAGCCTCCTCCTCCACAGAGACACACATACACACACGCAGTGCCTGCCTGTGTGTGTGTGCGTTACGCAGTGAGTGTTTGAGTGAGCGAGTCGTCATTGCCGCTGTAACCAGGCAATCATCACGCTCCTCTAGCTCTGCCCCCCCCCACGTCTCGCCTCTCCCCCCCCCTTCGTCTCGTCTCCCTTTGTCTCACCCCCCCCCCCCCACCATCACCCCCCCCCATCACCCCTCCCATCACCCCCATCCCATCACCACCCACCCCATCACCCCGAGATACGTGTCCAGGCACGCCACCAGAGCGCGTCCTGTGCGATGCCGCACCACGGCATTACTAAAACGGTCCCGCCATAGGAACGTGGAATTCCTCACCGCTGGCACGGGGGGCGGGGGGGGCAGCCAATTTAGCAACGATGTCAAATCCCCACCACGGGGTCTCTAGAGCGGGGAGAGGCTCTGAGCACGTTCTGCTGCCGCCTCGCCATGGTGACCTCCTGAGAAG